TTGGGTTGAAACCATCATGTTTTTCTTCGTTGTTCTGATTACAAAAGAAGTTGGGAGTATTGTTATTTGAGTATTTGCATATTCCATGCAGGTATCTGGTGACTCTCTAAGTATTTACAAGGGGTATTCTTTACCTCAGAAAACTGAGGAGTACCTTGTTTCACATGGGCTAAAGGGAGCCCCTTATTCTATTAGTGCTGCTGATGTGAATGAGGGGCTTTTTGGGAGACTTCTTGCTTGTCCTTATCAGGTTTCGAGGCTCCGTTTCTTCTTATTTTGTTCTATAATACTTGAAAAGTTTTCCTTGTGTATAGGGTAAAGACCATTTTTTGTGATATTTTTAGCTTGTGCTTTATGTTGAAACTTATGCCTCATTGCATTTTATGTTGGATCGTAAATTTGTAATGAATTCATTTTTGTAACTGAGTTTAAGGATTTTTTAGAGGCTTTTTAAGGTTATGTTATATGTGTCTCTTACAATTGACTAAAGTCTGACTTCAAGAGATGGATTTTCTTGCAGGATCCATATTCTGCTGGAGGAAGACCTTTTGACGCGAGTTCCTCATCTAGGAACTTGCAAGGAGCCATTCAGCCTGATGCAAGCGTAAGTTATCAACGTTGACATATCCTTTAACAAGAAATTGTACTTATATTACTGAAGAAATGCTATTGATTTAAGTGAAGCACATATTTAGAACTAAGTCAAACTCAATAAGAATTGGTTTGCTTCAAACTCGAGTTGACTCTAGTAAGAACCGATTTTTTAAACTTAAGTTGGGCTTATTAAGTTCATGAGCTATTTGGTTAGGTCCACCAATTTATTAAACTTTGCATTTACACTTTTGTGCAAGAAAGACCCTGAAATGACTTTTTGTTAAGTTGGGGATGGGGATTATCATAACCAGTGCTTACAATATCAAGGACTGGAGTGGGGGTTTACTTACATAAATATCATCGTGTGTACTTATATATATATATATATATATATATATATATATATATATATCCTTTAACAGATTCAATATATTTCACATTTTATAAATTTTTAACAAACTTTATGTTTGTATCGAGGTAGTCATGAACCAAACAAATTGGATACTATTTGGCTCAAGTTTAGTTAATTTAATTAATGACCTTATTTCTCAGTTCATGTTTAACTCATTTAGTTCATGAATCATGAGCGAAATTATCAAGCTAATTAATGATTCAAGTGTCAAACTAATGTCATGTTTGTCCGGTTCATTGTCACAACTATCTGGACTTTTGGAGCCCTGTTATGTCAGTTATTTCTCAGAGAAACTTAAATTACATGTTTCTGAGTTCCACCTGTGCCACCAGCCCTCTATTTGTGTTGGCAAGGCAGGCCTTCTGTTGTATATTTTTAAGCTAATAGTGATCCAACATTGTCAGTAATGTTAGAACTTAGCGATATGGTCTTACACTCTTACTATTTAGCCTTTGGGCTGCTGATTGTGTGTTTATCATTAGTTACTTTTTTTTTTTATCCTTCTTTTCCTTTCTTGTGCAGAAGCTAGCTGGATCATCTTTATTCCCAAAAAATTCACGCACACATCATGCAGTAGATGGATCCCAAGCAGAGTTGTCTACTTGTGTAAGCTGGTTTGCTTATGTTTTACATTGCTAACTGCTAATATTGGCATTCACACTCTACATCTTAATTGTGTAAGTGCCTGTACTGATTACATAATATATTTTACAACTGTCCGTGTAATTTGTACTTCCCTTGATAATGTGTTATGTAGTTGGTGACTATTTCAGCTCTAGGTAAATTCCCTGAGTTTTTTTTTTTTTAACTTATTCGCAAGTGATTATAATCATGCATGTTCCGGCAGTTATAGCTTGAAATCTACTTTAAAGTTTGGGATGATTTGTTGAACTCCTTTTGAGGCATTCATAAATTAACTACATCTTAAAGTGTTGGTGTATGAAAATTTAGTTGATTGTTAGTTTATTGTTCATGCTACTCTAAAATTTCAAGCATCCTATGGTATCATTAATGCATGCATGCGAGAAGTAATGACTATTGTTATTGTAGTTGGAATATTTGGTACCTTATCTTTCAATAATATAATGACAACGAAACCATACATCTCTTTTGCAGTTATCGTGTACCCTTAATTTTGATGGTGCTTCCAAAGGAAATCCTGGACCTGCTGGTGCAGGAGCTATACTGCGTGATGGGAGCAAGGTCTTTACAGTCTGCAACAAGTCTTTTTTTTACTATAATTTGAGAGAATGTTGCCAACTGTTAGGTTTCTGCTTAGGTCTATCGCTTGCGTGAAGGAGTGGGGACTCAAACAAATAATTTTGCTGAATATCGAAGTTTGATACTGGGATTGAAACATGCACTTAAGAAAGGATATAAGCACATTGTTGTTCAAGGAGACTCTCTACTTGTCTGCAATCAGGTTTGTTATATTTTCAAAGTATGCGTTTCATTAGTACTTTTCAATTTCCCCCCTTTTCCTCTCTACCTTGTTATCTGTGTTTCAGTACTGAAATAGCATCTGGATGGTGATAGAAGTAAACTACTGTAATTATTAAATAAAATATGTTACACGGATATTTTAAACTTGAAGTAACAATATAGTTCCTAATGAAAGGTGCTTTGGACTCATTAAGTCATTCCTTTCTAATGGTCAGATAATTGAGTTGAGTTGAGATTTACCAACAAGTCCTCTTCAGTTTTTATACATTCCGTGACCAGTTTACCATCTTATATGATTACTTTTGCAACAGATTCAAGGTTTATGGAAAATAAAAAACCCGAATATGGCTTCCTTGTGTAATGAGGCCAAGGAGTTGAAGAATAAATTTCTGTCATTCAAGATCAGTCATGTGCCTAGGGTACCACTTTATCATTTGCTCTATATTTATTATTTACTTACAAGTTCTGTTTCATTTTACTTTGTTTCTTGCTATTTTTTTCTCTAACAAGTGTTTTTTTCACATGTTTATCCAAATTGATTCTTAATTGCTAAGTTGTATACAGTTATACATGCTGGTATCAATGCATATGATTCCTAATAGTATGTACTTTGTATATGTATATGACTCAGCATCAGATGTTCTATCTATACAAAGATTTTCATGCAGTTCTCACTGTATTTATCTTTTTATTTCTAGAACACCATCCCATATTTTTTACCTTACTGTTTTGTGATCTGTTCACAAATTACATTCTCTGTGTTTTAGGAATATAACACTGAAGCTGATGCTCAAGCAAATCTGGCCATAAATCTCAAAGGTTAGCCTCAAGGATCTTCTAAATTCCCCATAAGTTTGGATTTTTATATTTTTATTATAATTGCAAAATGCTACACTGACTTCATTCTGTTTCTGTTCTCTAAATTTTTGTAATAAAATAGCATAAACCACTAACCTTCTATTTAACCTTGTATAATTTTTATTTTTGTGTCTGGTTCCTAAACTATTGCAGCTGGTCAAGTTCAAGAAGATTGCCAGTTTCTTTGATGCTTGACTTCAGTTGCTCTCAGCTGGTGAAAGCTTGAGTGCATTCTTGCTGCAGGTGACCCTTTTCTGTGAAGGCAGTGTCCTAAGTACTCTTGGGACTTGTGGAACTGCGTGCCACTGATAAAGTACTGTTGGAAATTTTGTTAGTCAATGTGCTATAACATGATGTGTAGGATTAGCTTGAAGACTCAAAGTTCTACTTAGGATGGTGTTACCTCAGTTAATATATACTAGTAATTATAATATATGTGCATGTTTGATTATTAGGTAGGATCATAGAGATAATTGTTCGGTACCACTTAAATTTTTTTGGAGGATTACAAATTGCATTATAATTTTATTTAAGGTGTAATTATATTTTCAATTTTTGAAATTTTGGAATGAATAGGTCTTTCAAGTTAAAAAAAAAATTCTTAAATTTGAATAAATATGTTTTTTTTTTATACTGAATTTGAGAACTACTCTAACCGCATTGACCAACGTATTCTTTTATTTAGATTTAAATTTTAAAATTTTGGTTTATTAAAGTATTAGTCAATTTTTGCAAAAATTGATCCTATATTATTTTTTAAATATTAGATTCTGAAAATCAAAATTTAAATAAATAAAATATACAAAATAATGTAAAAATGTATAAGAAAAAAAATCATGTGAACAAACATTATAGATATTAAAATAGTTAAAGTGTATAAAAAGTATTAAACAGTTATTAGTTTATGTGATATAACCGTACATTGTTATAAAATGCTAAAATTTGAAAAAAAAAATGAAATTTATAATTATATTTCAACCTCTAATTTTTTTTTCTAATTCACTTTTAAATTATTAATTTACAAAAGAAAATGATATATTTTCACTATGATTCTTTTATGATCTTTATTTTGGGCCCAAATATATTACTGAGGTTGATAAATAGGTGCATGTTATTCTCAAACTTTCTATGCTCACACCAATCATTTTTTTGGTTTTTACACTCTTTTTAATATTACTTTTATATTAAATGCAACTTATTAAAAAAATTACCAATTTCAATAGATTTTACTTCTAAATCAGACAAAAAATAGTCATTATATAAAAATGAAAAACTATACATGTGACTTTCATTTATATTTTTTTATAAAAATAATATTATTTTATTTTGCTTAAAAAATTTTGTTCTATATGATATACATGTTCTACTGTGTAGATGAGCTACATAATTTATTTATATATATATATATATATATTAATTTATCGATTCGTATTTTAAAAATAAAATTAAAATAAATTAAAATTTAAAATCAATAATATTTCGAACTTAATAATTCATATGATAATATTATAATAAGATCGGACACGTTCTTACATAAAATAAATATAATTATAAGAAAAATGGTAAGAAAATGAATAAAAAGAAAAAGGACAACATGGGAAATTAATAATTTGTTTGGAATAGAATAATAATACACTGATGTTTTCTGGTGTGGATAGATAACAGCAACTTCTCTCGTCAGCTGTTTGTGAAAATGGCCACACTATTCTCATCTTTCTCTCTGCACTCCATTCGCCCCTCTTCTTCAACATTCCCTTCTTCTTCCTCTTCTTCTCCCTCCTTTGTCTTCTGCAGCTTTCCCTTCCGCTCTCGCACTTCATCTTTGAAGACACAAACACTTAAGCAGCGTGTCGTGAAGGCAGTGGAAGAAGAAACCCAGCAAGAAGACCTCAACGCTGATGAAAGTGAACAGTCATCAACCTCGGAACAACAACCCGTTGTGGTTCCAATTTCCCCATCAGACACTCTCACCATGTTCTTTCAGGTACGTCACTGCCTTCTCTTTCTCCCTTTTTTACGCCAGTTTCTAGTTTAGTTGGAACCTTTGCGAATTTGCAATGTCCATGTGGAAAACTAGAGTAGGAACTTTTTGTGTAACAAACTGATATCTCGTGTATTTTTGTCAATGTGGCTTTGGATTGAAGCTTTCATGAATTTTGTTGACGTACCCAAGTCACAAATTTTGATCTTTTCTTAACCCAGTGAATCAATCGCTGTCATTTTCCTGCAACTGGGGTCTTAAATTATAAAGGCATTGCGTCAAATTTGAACAAGGATGGGACAAGCTGTGGTAACTGTGTCTTTGCAAATACAGATGGGACAAGTCATGTAAGTTAGAATAAATAACTACATAATGAAAATAAACCAAACTAATCTATGAAAGATGTAGCATCGTTATGATAGTCCCAACAAATGAAAATTACCACTTGAGACATTGATATATAAATTTTGTTGATCAAATTAGTCCCGGAGTTAACAGGGCTGTGGAACATTTTGACCAATGAACTGAAATATATGGAGGGTAATTTCCATGTTTCAAGGTCCAAGAGCGTCTGAAAGGCAAGAATTAATTTAACCACACTCACTAATTTTCACTCTAATTGTAGAATCCAACTTATGTTCTTAGCTTATTTTTACTGGGTTTCATCATTCACATAAGAACCCTCGTTTTGACTTGAATAGAATGTTTTTATAATGATTCAACAACCTTGGTTGTACTTGTTTTTATAAGCAATTTCTATGAGAACTCATTTGCTGTAATGATATTTTCAATTCAAGTTTACGAACTAACATAGCCTCTGAATTCCAGTTGCTCGGATATGTTTGACAAAATAGCATTCAAAGGTAAATTGAGGGTTATTCAATAACTAACCTTAGTGCCCTCCCATCATGGCCAACTAACAAAGGTCTAAACTATTACTCACGCTAATTAGCATGATAGCTGTCTAACTAAACCTATAACAGATTAGATATCTGGCTTTGAGTCGTAGTTTACTAGACTTACATAATTATTATTTTTGCCTAAAAAACTGCACTTGGATCTTCAGGTAGATACCTTTTCTGTTTGTAATTGTATCACTTTTCTTGAGATTGACTGTCTACTTTTGCATATTTTAAGGCAGAAGGAACAGTGAGTGAATCAGCTATTCCAGCTTTAACCAAAGCTTTAGAGGTATCTATGATCTTTCAAATCTTCTATTTTGCTCAATCACTTCAATGTGAATGTAAACTTGATGCAAATATAACTTTAGTCTTGTGTATCTTCATATTTTTACTTATGTTATTGTTTGGTTCTGAGTTTCTTTATGAACATAGCAGCAACAATCCCTATGATTTAGATCCTTGTTTTAAATTCATTCCTCTGAAACAGACATGAGTCGATGTTGTCATCTGGTTTCCTTTGACTAGAGGATGATGTAGGAGGTTGAGAGAGAGATATCAAATGTTAGTGATGTTCATTGACCCAGTATTTTATATTTTAGATTCAAATGTAATTTAAAATAAGATGAGTCATACCATGTTTGCAAAACCATTGTAGTTTTCGAATGTGGGAAGATGATCAAAGGATGGTGACGAAAGAGGGTAAATTTCATCACGTATTGTTTAGTTGTGAGTTAGAACTCCCTTTTTTGCCGGAGCATATGCATCCTCGTCCACATGGTCATTATTTCAACATGTACAGTATTTTGGCCTTCAAGAAAGTAAACTTACATTGCTGGAGGACATGATTTGTTTCCAGCCACAATAATAGCTTAATCTAGTAATGGGCATGTCTCTTATTTATATGCCTTGCATCAAGGTTTTATAAATAGACAGCTTTGAATTCTATTTTTATGTAAGAATTTGTTGGTCACTTTGATTGTTTTCTTTCTTGATTCTTTTGCTATGTTATCAATAGTCATTGTCTTTGGGAAAATTTTCTTGTTGTCCTTGACACTTGGTTGTCATTATTTCATTATATATTTTTACAGGAGACAGAAGGTGTTACTGATTTGAAGGTTCGGCTTGCTGAGGGACTTGCAATTTTAGAGGTATGCTTAAGCACTTCAATACAATTACCTGATGCAAAAAAGCTTTTTTTTTTTCAAATGATGCCTAACATGAGTTAAACTATTTAGCTTACAGGTTAGGTTGGCCCCATAAGGAATTGAAATCTTTAAGAATGTCTCATAACAGTTATCGCATAATTGAATTGTTGAAACACATTATTTTCCTGAATTATGATCAATATAAAACTTAAAAAATCTAATGCCTTGTCATTAAGCTTTTTATATCTAGGATATGGCTATCTATTTCTTAAACATTGTCCAATGAGTATAGTTTTTTTGCAATACATTAATGACTTTCTGTGTTATTGTTCAGTTGAAGAAACAAACAACTGTCCAAGCTACAGGAGTGGCTTCTGGTCTGGTAGAAACCATACAAGGTTCAGGCTTTAAATTACAGACATTAAATCTTAGTTTTGAGGATGAAGAAGTTGCAGCTGCCTAGACTAAATGTGTTGGTGTAATAAAAATAGTTTGAGGGAATTTTTTTTAAGTCATTTATTTACACCTGTTGCATTTGATATCATTATTATCATTATTTATTGAAAAAGTGAAAGAGTATTTGGTGTTGAAATCCTTCCGTTGATATGGAGATAATCATAGATGACTTTGGACATTAGACAAATTTCTTCACAAATATCTTCTTTCACGATGTATAGAGAGATTAATACTTCAGCTCCCGTATTCATTGAAGAACATGTTTACATAGAGTTTGATTTACAGATGTTAAATTTCTTTAGAAACATATGTTAAAAGAATTATGAGAAATTATTTATAAATTAGATTATGTATATATAAGTTAATTTTAATTTATCAAATATTTTATTTAATTATATTGATTTTTCTCTCCTAAAAGGGTTTATAGATAAAAATCTTATGAGTGTAAGGAATCGATCGAACTGCTTGCATTTTTGTGGATCAATTATTTATAATAGCCGTATTAAAAAAAATAACGATTAAAAAGTTGTTCATAGATCAAAAAGAGTAAAAATAAACAAAGTAAATAACTTTGTTGAGATGATGATACTGATAACTTAGGATGATTTTTCATTTCTTTTGATAATTAAAGTTAGAATTTCTTTAGATTTCGGCAAGTAAATAATCCACTCACCCTACTCAATAGTTCACGTTAGTGCACACACCACGAGTAATGTAAACACAAAACAGGTTTATATAACAAAATTACGTTATAAGATAATCATTTTAAAAAGTCAGTTATGAGATCCAAAATAATCATGCAACTAATTTGAAATTAGATCATGTCAAAGTTAATCCAATAGGTTATAGTTTACATACTTAAAATAAAATTTGGTCTTTTGGTTTTCTAATTTTAAAATAGAAACATCTGGTCTATTTATTTATTAATTTACAATTTTTTATATTTATTTCATGTATTTTAATCCAATAGATTAATTTTATAATATATTAAATGAGTACATTAAATCTCGATTCCATCGAACCAATAAAACTTGTATAATTAAAAATTAAATCAAAGTGACAGAATTTTTAATAGTATGACCAAAATAAGAAGACCAAAATTGTATTCACTCTATCACAAAAAACATCATTTATTTTTTGTATGCAACAAAACATCAAGACTAAATATGTTTTAAATTTCTAAAACATTCAAAGTTCTTGTTTCAATCCCTAACAATTTTTTACCCTCACTAAACTAAACATTGAGTACATCTGAAAAGGGAAAATATATTATAATATCATCGACGCTTGTACAGACAAGGTTTAAGTACTGGCCACTCAATTTCCTTCCTCTTGGAGATTGGCTTTTCCTACACAGAAGAATAAGGTGAATCAGAAATGAGGATTATATGCTGCCAATATAAATAACAAACCACAAAAATGAAATCACATTGACTGCAATCAGCTGCATACCTTTTTTGTAAAGTGAAACAAAATAAACATTTTATTTGAGAAATCCTGCACGTGTGTAAATAGAAGTTAGCACAACTCAATTCCAAGATGATTGTAGTAATGAATGAACATAACCACACCTGCTTTACAGAGTTGAAACCTAGGTCAGAAATAGCATTTGAAAACTCTTGGGGGTCTGCTCCTCCCGTATTTGGATCAAACCTGCTCTTTACTTCTGCTATCAAAAGCCAACCACTGTTACAAAAACTATACTAAGTCAGATCCTCAATAGGGAAGCAATGTCCAAAAAGAAAAGTTAAGATCATACAAAAGAAAACAAACCCAGGCTTTAGCACCCTATTCGATTCTTCAAGGTAACTTTGGTAGTTGGTTCCCATCAATGAAAGACAGAAGACCGCGACGTCAACAGATGAGGAGACAAGGGGAGTCTGCCAACAAATCACACAAGCGCTAGTAAGTAATTTAAGTTATAACTATAAAATATTCAAATAAAAGCTTTCAGACAATTCCCCCTTTTGGGCTCTACTTCACATATTTTGAAACTCAATACATGGAATTTGACGCAAGACATTGTTAAATAGATAGCAAGTGGCCCGCCTCTATAGTTAGGCATCAGGGGCAGACCTAGTTAAGAAAATTGTTAGTAAAGTTAAGTAGTTATCCTGACCTAAACAGAGACGCATATCTTTTATTAACTTTGACCATGACTTGGGTCTTATGAGGGTTCCAAAATCCCATATAGTGTATGCTTAACTAATTAAATGTGGGATTTAGGAACCCCATAATACGCAAGTAGCTATCACAATTCCACCCATATAAAAATGCATATCAGGGAAGGCCCGTTACTTGACTAGAAGGAATTGAAGATGCAAACCTGAAGCCTGACCAGTTGCTTTAGTTTATAATGTTACCAATATAATAGCATATCATAATATTCATATTCCAAAAAGATTAGTGATCATATGATGTTTATTTTCCAAATAAATGAAACAATACACTCTTGTAAAGTGAATGCCAAAAACTGTCCAATGCTATGAAGGCCATAAACTGGCTTTTGACATAATGAAGGCAAGGATGGATGAGAAATAAAATTACTACTGTCCAATGCTATAAAAATATAACTTCCGATGTGCACTACTATTAGCCTTACAAGAATGAAAACATACATTTGCCATGTCACAAGCAATTACATTTGGATCATTGGAGACAAGATCCAGAGAGTAGACTTTATTCTTCATACTTTTAGCAATGAGTGCTTCCCCTAGATTAGAAACATGAAGCAATGAGCAAAAAGAACTCAGGAATCAGGTCAAAATTAAAATTGACACCAAGATCAAAGTAACTTCTCACCACAACCAAAATCAGCAACAACAAAAGCAGGGCTCTGTTTTTTCAGCCACTTGATAATTACATTAACCGGTTGTTCAGGCCAATTGGACATCTGTGATTTGTATCCTGCATGATACTAGCCACATAAATGAAAGACAAATTGAGACAGACAATAAGAATGGACTATTCAAACCACACCAAACTCATGCCAGAAGAATTGAAGCAAGTTTCAAGGATTATACCAACATAGAAGAGGTTATGGAGTTCAATCAATACTCTAGAGCAAGCAAACTAATATGACCTAAAAAATTAATTGCTTTGAGAATTTCAAATCTAGTTTAATAAAACTTCACCCAAAACCCCTCCCTTTTTTTACCTACACAGACCTCTTTTAACTTAAATAACAAAACAACACTGTATAATGTTCCCACTAACACAATTTTTGCCTAAGATTCAACAAGTAGCAAATTGAGAAAAAACATTCTGCGTCCAAGTGTACGAGTAGTTGTCAAGGTGATAAGTTTGGACATTTTACCTAAACAAAGGATCAACGGCAACCAGCGTTGGTTCAATCACACAAGAAATAATAAACTGTTTTTTTTTTGTCTTTAAAGAATGTACATTAAAACAACCCTTACCATGTTAAATAGCGATGGTTCTTCCTGGAAATAATCCAGAGCCTCCTTCCCACTGAAAAGACATGGCACAACATAACATTAACATAACTAATAACATAAAATCTAAATTTGAGGGTACAAAAGCATTGAAAGTGCAGGAATCAAAGAAAAGAAAACACGAGACCAGAAAACAGAACATAACATACGTGCAAGTGTAGAGCTTCTCGTTAATCATCCTAAAATGCCCACCAGACAATCTTGCTCGCATCTGCGACAAACAAACTATTCTCATGAAACCTAAACAAAATATAAATTTGATAAATAAAAGGTTGTGTTTTGGTTATGCGTGCCTTTTCAAGAAAGGTGGACGGTTCCTTTAACTTCGTGCGCTTAGCAGAAGTGGAAGGAATAATCTGTTGCTCCTCCTTACCCTTTTTGTTTCTGCATCTCTTTCGTTTCTTACTCTCACCCATTGTTACAATTTTGATTTAGAGCACCAAATCCTTCTCTTTGTGTTTTTCTCTGCTCACCAGACTAATGCTACTGGTTTACGTCTAGGGTTCTTTTGCTTAGCTGTTTTAATTGCATGAGAAAGAGAAAAGTGAATATTTATTTCCTCAATACTAGAAACAGTGTTGTGAAACCCGGCCCAGAGATATTTTAACCCAGCCTATATTACAAAAAAAACACATATATCTAATATAATTGTCAAAATGTAAAAATATAAAGTCATGATAAAATAACACAACTCCCGAGAGACAAATATTAAAGATTCGGTTATAAGGAAAGTTCTTAATAAAGTTGTTCCACCTTTAAATGTTTATTAATGATCAAAATTTGTTAAAACCATAAATTTACAGTTTAGTTTAGTTAGCACAATTAGATAATTGAATGAATTTTAATTCAAATGGCCAAGCACAAAGAATTGAAATGCTGAATATAGCGCCAATGTCATGATCATGATATTCTAAAAATTATTTTTAATTTAGTAAAGACCTTCATAGTAATCATAAAACCCATTTTCTTGTTATATGTACTCGTTAAGAACTCTAAATATGATTGACACTAAGATTAGGAGGCTTGGCTCTTGAAAGAAACAAAACAAATCTGCATTTCATGACAATACCCCAGATTCTCTTTTCCCAGCCACAAAACCAACCTAAGTAACTAAGCATATGGTCCTATATCTTGCACAATTAGACCCTTCAGCAATAAGTCAATACATATTCTGTAAATTTGTACACGTTTGAGCGATTTTACTTGGAATATTTTATGTGAAAACTGGTGGTGGACTAGTGCAGCATATCGTAACATCAAAAAGAAAGTAACGACAGCAATAACTAATGCAATACTACCCACCAAAAACGACATTATACTATCGTACCTTCCATTAACTTCGCCAACTATTACAAATTCAATTATGTTTCCTAGACAGAAAAAGGACAATTTAACCTGCAAAATCTGCAGGATTATTTTGGTCTAAATTAAATATATTTGCATTATTTTCATGTTACAAGTTGAAAACCAAACAGACATCACATATATGATGCATATATTATGTCGCATGTCAGACATATGAAACAAGCAAAGATACAATCATTACAACGCAATAAAAAAATTGAAAAAGTTACTTGCTAGAAATCCTCTTCCTGGTGTCTATGTCATTGTAGAACTAATTTAAGGACTGAATTATACATTAAATTTTAATGAATAACCAAATTGTAAGTGAGGTGCAATTCGAAGGACAAAGACAAAGGATCGCTCTTGGGAGAATTATGCAGAACGCACCCAGGTAACAATTCCGTGGTTCACTGTTTCTCTCTTGCAAGCTTCTTCCCGTTTTGGATGTTGTTGTTGCATTCTCCCATCGCATGAACAGTTTTGTGATGGTGCCTTTCTCAGCTCCGTTCTGTGTTTTGACCTTCTCCTTCGATTTCTCCCATTTCCTTTCTCTTCCGATTCATGGATAGGACAAATTAGGGTTTTGGTTGTTTTTTACTCCTCTCTTACCATTTCGATTATTGGGCCTCAGTTTAAGTCCATTAATTTTTCGCTTTTAAAACTTAATCCGTTATTTCTTTTTCCACCTCTATAATTTCTTTCGCCACTCCATAATTAAAATAAATCTCATTTTATTTTTAAACTAATAACATTTCAAGATTTAATTTTTTAGAAATATATTATAGATTATGTATTCTGAGACTTGATTTTTATTTTTAAATGAACAATATTTCAAAATTTAATTTTCTAGAAATATATTCTAGATTATTTATTCTAAAACTTGATTTTAGATTAGATATTTCAAAATGTATTGTAGATTAACTATTCTGAAAATATATTTTGAAATAAGTATTTTGGAATTTAATTTTAAAATATATTTTTAGAAATATGAGTTTTTAGATTATTTGTTTTGTAATTCACTTTTAAGTTTATAATGTATTTTAGATTGAATAATCTGAATTTTTATATACACTTTTAGTCCAAAATTCATAAAGTGAATAAATATAAAATATTAATAATTTATAATCGCATGGATTTAACACAATCTTCAATGGAGAATGAGGACAACACAATTAAGATACATAAATTATGGAAGTATAATGGAGATATGAAGTACAAAAGTAAAGAAGCATTTTAAAGTTTCAAACAAAAATTAAGAAAAAAATATTTTAATCATTTTACATGGATCACAAGACTTGGAGGAAAAAAGAACCAATATAATCATGAGAAATATTTGGTCCATTTATTTTGGAAAATTTACAATTTTAGTCAATTTTTAACTTTGTTTCTATTTATTTGTTGTATTTTAATCAGTTATATTATTTTTTATAATATCTTAAATAAATGTGTTAAATTTCTGTTCTATTAAACCGAAATATATATATATATATATATATATATATATATATTTGCTAAAAAAAATTACAATAATAAATAAATTTGAATAAATAATTATGGTTTTGTAATTTATTAGATCGATTTTTATTAAATATTGAAAAAATATATTAAATTAATATAAAAAATAAATATACATATAATAAATAATAGATAAATTTCTAAATAAATATAAAAAATAAAGCAGTCTTATTTTTCGATAACATTTTAGACTATAAATTATATTTATTTTAATATTAATGATTAGACTTTTAATATAATATTATGTGTATTTATTATCATAATATTTATAAATATAGAGAATATTTTTAGTTATATAATAATTATAACTTTAATGTGTGTATATATATATGAGAGAGAGAGAGAGATAGTTAGGATTTTATAATTAAAATGAATAAATGAGCAATGTTATCTCGTATTTCTATTTTTATTTTTTAAAGAAAAGAAGGTGTCATAAAAAAATTATGTTTGAACACGTAGTTAAGTAATAGTATTTGCAATGAATTGGCTTTGAAAATACAAAATTGCGCTCAAAACATGGCCCCTAAGGTTGACTTGTCTACCAAGTGGGGTCAGGTTCCTTTTTAGTCATGTCAACAATCTTTTTACCCAATAAAACTGTGTCTGTATACTTGCTTTTTATCCACACTGTCCTTTTTCTTAATTTTTAAATCTTTGTTTTTTAATTTTATACAAAACTAATTTTAACTTATAAAAAATTATGTATTTGTATGAATTTATAGGAAAAACAATTTAAAAAAAATTATACTCCTTTTTACCATATCATTCTAAGTTCGTTTATTCAAACACATGAATTAACTTTTCTAAGTTTAATTTATATTTTTGCATCAATTTTCCCTGTGTAATACTATCTTATTTAAAGACATTTGAGAGTTACTATTTGAAATTGTTTAATTTTAGAAACGGTGAAAAATCATATAAAATTATTTAATAAAATAAAAGTTATACTCATTTATATATTATTATATTTTTAATTAATGTAAATTTTTACAACATTTAAAAATGAAAATAAACACTTTATTAGGAATCTCTTCCATAATTATTAAAAAAGTAATTAAAATTATTATATATATAATTTTTCTATTTTTAAATAATTTATATACACAATTTATAATAAAATATTTATTTTATTTTTAAATCACTCTTGTCATCAATTCTTTTAAATATGTTCTAATGTATATTTAGATAAACTATTTAAAATTTTTGAATGTGCTCATACAAGTTTAACGTGATTTTATTAGAAACAAATAGATACTATGAATCCATGAATTATACGAAAAAGTGAAAGAAGTCAAATAAATGTGAAAACATTATTTAAATAATTATGAAAAAAGATATATTTTTAATCACAACTTTTGATCAAATTAAAAATAATTGCATTGAGTAAAAGATTTAATCTTATAATCTAATTTTGTAAAATCTAAGTTAAAGTTGTAAATTTATTAAAAGGGTGAGTTAAAAATAGTTAAATAAATTATAAATAAAAAAAAATTATAACACTTTTTGTTATGTCTCATTTAACTTATTAAAATATATAATAAAAATGTACTATTTGCATGGATGAATTAAATTTAAAAGCTTATTTTTCTATCATAAAATAATAATAATTATTATTGTTATTTTAAAAATATTATCATGATGAGTAGATAGTATGGTCCAAAGAATTGAAAGTGAAGATTTGGTAATGCGATTGCCCTGTCCCATCTCCCATCAGGGAATGGTCTTGGTATTTGCCAGGTTGGCAATGGTTCTTCCAACGAGGACTTTCTGAAAAAATAACATAAATAAATAGCTTCATTTTGTGGACATGTGTTGTGTTATTGAATATTGATGCACTACACTGTTAATAATAATATTTTTTCATCATACCCTTTGGAATCCTATGGTAGTAACCTTGTCCACATGCCAACCAATCTTTGCACAAAACAGAAATATTGCCCGTTGGCTTTGGAAAACCATTTAATTATAATCTACTTGCATTTCTTTACCCATATATGCTACCAACCATAAAGATTACCTCATCACACACGTTTGGATATTGATTCTATACATAATTTTATATCATTTTTTTTCTTAAAATAAGTATTAAGAAAGTAAATTTTCGGATTTTGATTATATAACATTCTTACAATATATATGGTTAAGCATATTGATCAAGAAAAGATTCATTACAAATATTATAAATAATAAAATAAAAAAATATGTGAAATTGTTATTTATTGTATATATTTTTTATTTTAATATGGTCTTACTCGAATGTTGAAATATTTTTACAAGCCAGTTAATAACATTTTTTGATAAAAATATTAAGAAGTATTCAAATATTTAACTATAATGAAATAAGAACAAGAAAAAAGTTAAGTAAAATATAATTATGTAATAACATATTTTATATATTAAATAAAATTTAAGACTTAATTAGATATTTCATAAATAAATTTTAATATGCTATTAAAGTTAATTTAAGTTTCACGTTATAAAATATCAAAATCGAATATTTTAATTGAATTCGTGTGTTATAAATATTATTTTTTCACAATAAATCTTGAGACCTAATTATTAATTATCCATATGATTGTGAATTAAATTACCATTATTAAATCAGTATTAAATTATTTATCGTATTAAATCACTTATTTTCGATATTATAAATTTTATATTAATTAAAAATATAATAATATTATAATTGATTTTGTAATAATCAATTTTATCGAATTAAATTTTGTATATAAGCCTTTTTAATATTATAAATCCTGAAAGTAATTTGACTTTGAAGGATGTATATATATTATTATTTATTTAAAATTGTTGTAATAAACAAGTGGAGAAGTGAGATCTATATGAAAAATGTATGATAGAACTAATATGGAAATAGGTTGATTTTAGTGTGATCCCTATATTTAACTGCAAAGACATGTCGACCATTCCCATTGAGAAGTCGTAGGACATAGCACATTTTGAGAAGTTGTAGGACATGGCACATGATATCACATGCCCTACATCCAACGCTGGGTGATGTTACACCCTTAGTCTACAAGATTACGTAACATGTTCCACAACCACCGTATCTAGTGATAGATGCATGTTATCACTTTCTTATTAATTAATTTTCAGTTGAAAATAAAAAAAGTTTTTTGCTTTTAAAATATAATATGATTCATAGGAACAAAGGTCCTTTTACTTGATACGAATCACACTTAAGTTATTAGTTCAAACAAAGCATGCAATCATCACACTATTTTTCATTAATTATTTTTTTAATTACGAAATTGGCGAGTCTGATAACATATTTAATGACACTGTCTTATTTTTCTTTTTAGTTTTTTTTTATTAATTTTAAACAATGAAAAAATAAAAAAATTATTTTTACCACTTTTAATAATAATAATAATAATAATAATAATAATAATAATAATAATAATAATAATAATAATAATAAAAACAATTTCATCTTCACACTTTCCTATTACCTACACTTTATGCCTTTTTTATATAGAAAAAAAAATGCAACTTTCGCGTTTGTTGAAAAAAAAAAGAGAGTAAAGGGTTTGTTATTTTTTCTAAATTAATAACTACTAATTATTTATTAATTTTCTTAGTTTTTATCATATTTATAATTTTAAATTTATCTTTTAAATTATATTTATATTTAAAAATAAAATATTTTATTTCATGAAATATAAAAATCTGAACATTTTTCTTTCTATATATATTTTAGGACATTAGTTCGTAACAATTTGTACTTTATGTTTTTTTTTTTACTTTTTTGCTTTTTACACATTTTTTTCTATGAAACTAATTTATTTACATTTTAATGAAATTAATTATCTTTAAGTCACTTTTCAATAATTTTGTCTAAACAAAATAATGGTTTGTTTATATATTAATTAACTACTAAATATAGTATGATTTTTTAAACTTTTTTAATCAGAACATCTAATGACTGTTTTATAAGATTTTGTTTTATTTAAAGTGAATTATAACATGATAAATAATTTTAAAAATCTCTTTACAAATTTTACTCCAATAATAAAATACTATGAACACGTATTTGTATAACTTTTTTCATATTTTAGATCTTTATAATTTTAAATAATTTAATAATTACAAGTAAATTTATTTTTATTTTTAAGATTAAAAATCTTATATAAAATTGAAACTTAAATTTAGAATTTTGATACTAAATCAATATGGTTGGACGATAATTTCTTTTAAAAATTAAGTTTTATATTTAAATTTAAGATTTTGATTAAAACACGTACATTATAAATGTATCAGCAAATTGAAATATTTGCATTGTATTATTTTATAATTTTAAGTGAATAAATAAAATCATAAAGAATGGATGAAAAAGTATATTTTTCACTGAAAAAGTAGGCATTAATTGTAAAAGAGAAATGTGTCAACTTTCGTGTCTTTTACTTCAAGTTTCCAACTTGTCTGTAATAATATCGTGACAGAATTAAAATACAATAACCATTATCTTATTCTTTAATTAAAATTAACGTGCCCTATTATTAATTATTATTGATTTACATGATATTATAATAATTTTTAATTAAAAATAAATTTTTATTTGAAACTTATATTAATAATATTAACAACCACTTTATTTTCTCGCATAAAAAAATCTCAATATTTATGGTAAAAAAAGGTAAATTGCATAATAAATTATCTGTATTAATTATAAAAAATAAATAATAGACTCGTATTGTTTTTTCACCTACAAATTAGATTATATATACTAGTAAAAATATAGATATTGTAACGTTTGCACGTGTTTAATTATTTTTTAAAATAATTTTGTTTATTTTTTAAATATATATTTTTAATTAATTATATATCAAATTTTTTATTTTTTATGTCCAATAAAAATAATAATTACAAAAATATATTTGTTTTAAAAGATAAATGTATTTCTGAATATAATGAATTTTGAGAGTTTTTAAAATTTAATATGCCTGACAAAATTACCAAACTATAAAAGTTTATGAAACTTTTTTTCGCATGTGAAATTTTTAAATTAGAATTATCATATATTTTCTAACTTTTTTTTTCAATATGTTCCTAATAATTGTGAATTTAAATACATAATAATATTATATATATAACTTCATATGTTGTAAAAATAAAAATTCTAAAAATGGGTTCTTAAATGCGTAATAATTATTGAAATTTACAACTCAATCCACATGGGTGATTAAAAAATACAACTTACTGAATTGGATATTTAAATATAATCTAATAATAAAATAATCTCTCAAAACTGAACAAAAGTTTAATTTTTCACACATCGAATACCTAACTAAGTACGAGTTTTTATTCTTTCAAATGTAAAGTTGATTTGACAAAAAAAAATTATTAGCTTAAAAATATTTGTAATCCCTCACGATTTACATTTTCAAACTAAAAATAATGATTATTGTAAAGTAGATATTGATTTACGTTTTTAATAGTTTTTATCTTAATATTATATGACACTAATTATTAATTATTTATATATTAAAATAGTAGATGACTATTTAAAGTAATGCATGTATTATTTAAAATTTTGTTAAGATTGATAAAATAAATATTACTAGTTTATCTGAAAGTAAAAATTAGAAATTAGAATTTTAAAATAATGAAAAGAAATGTGGTATAAAAATAAAAAGTAAAATTTTTGAAATATGATGAATGCATATAGCTGTTATCCTCTTTATAAAGTTGACTGAAAAAGGTAAGAAAGGAATGATTAAATATTGGGTACGGAGGGTGACAGTGAGGTTTGGCCCTTCTGCCCTCTTTTCAGTCACATCTCTCCATCTTATGTATGAGCTGTGACCACACCAGGTACCACATCTCACCATATATGCCTCCCATTTTCAGTTTTTTTTTTTAATATTTCGATATATTTATAAGTATTAAATAATGCATAATTTATAAATTAAAATTCATATATATTTTAACTTTTTAAATTTTACAATAAATAATATTTTACATAATTTTATTATTATTAAGATTTTTACATATTTATAAATTTAATATTATTTTGGAATAAAACTCAATAATAATTTATATATATATATATATATTTAATTTATTAAGTCGTAAATAAAATTTTTAAAATAAACAATATTTTATATATAAAAATTATTATAATAAATATGAAATTGAAATATATTTATTCTTAATCAAAATAATTACGAAGATATTTTTAATTTTATTTTTTAACATTTTGAATGTGAATTTAATTTAATTTATTAAAATAGGGTTTTTGTCATTTATATAAAACGATGTATAATAAATTAATTAGCAAATTAAAAACTATAAGAAATTGAAAAGAATTGCATTAGTTTGACTAGGGTTTTTGTCAAAGCAAGATTTCGTCAGAAGTTATGTCATATGTGTGTGGATTAGGGTCAAATTCTGAAATAAAAGGTGCATTGATTAGTGGCAACACACACTCTTATAAACACTATGCATTAAGATAATGCTACTTGCATACACACAATGTTAGAGCCACGTGGGTCGAAGCTGTTTCACTCACTGTATTTTGGTGACAGCTAGGTATTAATTCACCCACCCTATCATAAATCAATTATATTAAAAAATATATAACACTATACTTAATTTAAAAGTTTAAAATAGTATTTTTGTTTATATTTTTAAATTGAGTTTATCTTGTACATTTCTTAGATTCTAATTCAACGTTCAATAAAGTTGAAGAAAATTTTGTTTTTAAACTATTTTTCAACTTTTTAAATTATGTCAAATTATTATATATTGTATTAAAATAATTTTTCATAAAATACACAAAAACTGAATATAATAAAAATGTTAAAATATGTTATTTTGAACTTAAGAGAAAGATTAAAGAACTTTCTTTTCAAATTATAAAGGATTAAAAGAAACAAATTTATTGAAATTTTGAGACAAACATTTAAACCTTAAAATTATAGATATTAAAAAATTGTATTTACAACCCTCCTCCTTAGACCTAAAACGTGTTTTTCTGCTACCGTGCCCAACTTTTTCTCATATCACTCTCTCCATTCTTGACCTCTATATAATAAGAAGAACTAGTTGCTGTTTAACACTGTCCAAGAAGCTCTACACTCTTCTTCCCACATTTCTGGCACTTGCTTCAGAAATGGCTTCCAATTCCATTCTTCTTCTTGCCATCTTTCTTGTGTTTACAACAAAGGTTCACTCTTCATTTTTCTTTCAGCTCACTCACCATTTTCACTTGTACACCAACAAGTGCCCGTTTGAAGTGTTTTTTCTTTCTTCAAGTGTTTTGCTTCAACATGATCAGTACTCACCTTCATGTTCTTGTGCAGGTTTTTTCTCATGAAGAAGATCTCAAGATAGTGGTATGTTCACTCTACAAAGTTATCCTTTTAGTTTTGTTTGGTTCCTCTCTGATATGTAAATATCCTTTATTTAGAGAAGTTTTATTTTTTTGTCCTTAGTGGTATGATTTGTTTATTATCTTCCACTAAAAGAGTCTAATCTAGCTAACTTATTGTAAAGTTCAAATTTTGACCAACTTTTTTACGTTCCTCTTTTTCAAAAGATAGAGTTGACAACACAGTGTGCTTTCTAGTCCTGTCTATTTACCGCAAAAATGCTCAATGCTAAAATGCTTTATGCAGGTAAAATAATTTTGCAAAGATGGAGAAATAGTTCAAAAGTTGCATAGTTTTTTTTAAATTGCTCATGACTTTCAAGAATGTGTATTACATTAAAGAATGTGGTTGGAAACTCCTTGTAGGTAGGATTTTAATTTTTCAATGTGTAAACTGAGAAAGAAAAGAGTTAGATCCAAGTTTAGTTGATCTCAAAAGAAATCGAACAGATGTTTGATTCTCAGTTTGAGACATTCTAAATACTCAGTTGACAGAGTAAATTTAGTTTTGTGACTTCATTACTTTCAATATTTGTCTACATTGAAACAACTGAAAACTTAGTTTTGTAAAAGCAAGTCTTGAGTTATGTTTTGGTTTGCAAACATAAATTTAACTCTAACTTAGATGAGTGTTTTAGTGTGTATATGCATTAGTATATATACATGAAATTGTTGTTGAAAAAGCTTGAACATGGCATTTTGCAATAGGTGCAGTATGCAAATCCTCAAGTTCCTGCATCTGCACCAGCACCACCACTGAAGGCACCAACTCCTGCTCCTCCTGTGAAATCACCAGTGACCACACCAAGTCCAACTACACCACCTGGTCAGTCCCCAACAGTGAAGCCCCCAACAACCCCACAAGTAAAGCCACCAGCACCTACACCCCCACAAGTAAAGCCACCAGCACCTACACCCCCACAAGTTAAGCCTCCAACACCAACACCTCCAGTGGTGTACCCTCCTCCTCCATCACCAGTAGTGAAATCAATAAAGGGTAAGTGGTTCCACATCCATGTCTCTGATAACTCCTCACCACTGTCTATTGCAATTATTTGATATGATTTTGTCACTTTGTTGTACTAATTTCACGTCCAAATTAACTTCACTAGAAATTTGTCTCAGTATTATTTTTATATTTAAACAGAGGATGTGAAAAATGTGAGACAAATTGAATAAAGTTTACAATTTCATGAAAAGAAAAATGGTGGCATACTTACTATCCTTTATCATTGATGTGTTAATAATTTCAACTGTACACACTTTTATATTATTTGTTTAAACTTATTTTTGAGATTGTATGTTTACTTTTATACATTTTTTACGTTTAAATGCTATTTGTTTTAGTTTTTACAAGTACATTTTTTTAAAGATATTTTGATCATTGTACTTTCAAAATGACAAGGATTATGAGTGGTTCAAATAGTTGAGTAGGAAGAAAAACAAGATACTTGTTTTATAGCCATATATCAGTTAAAAATATTTTCAAGCTTGTTTTGGTTAATTTTCTTTGTAAAACTGATCTGAAGCAAGCCATTTTTAATAAAACTAATGTAGAATTTGAATGGTAATTACATCTACTTTTCTCTCTAGCTTTGATCACATCTACTATTTTAATTCTTGTTTTAACTTTTCGTCCTATACTTTTGGCTTTGAGCCAATGTCGCATCTCATGATAGATGTGAGAGAATCATTGTTCTGATATTAAACAGTGCTAATATTGTAGTGTTATTTTTTTTATATATAAAATGTTGAGTGATATACACTGAATCAACTACTCAAGTCTTTATTTGTGATTCTTCTTTGTTCAGATTGCATTCCACTGTGTGGTTTTAGATGCCAATTACACTCAAGGAGGAATATGTGCTTGAGGGCATGCATGACCTGTTGTGACCGATGCAAATGTGTTCCTCCTGGAACTTTTGGCAACAGGGAAAAGTGTGGCAAATGCTACACTGAAATGTTGACTCATGGCAACAAATTCAAGTGCCCATAGAACCCTATCTATATCTAGTAGCACCTAAGTTTTTCTCCTTCTTCTTCTCCTTCTTCTTCTTCAAGTTCGAATGCATGAGTATGTGTTTCAATCAAGTTGCTAGTGTACTTAATAACAGAGTGATCATCATAAGTTATACAAGCAGTCGTGTTGATCCATTAGTTCAACACTATTTCGTGTTGTCTATAGGATCAATATGGTCCATGATATGTCATATGGTTAATATAAGGAAGTATTTTGGTGTACCAAATTGAGAATTGTAATTTCATTTTCTGATATTTTGAACATTTGAATGAGAAATTAAACATAATGTATCCATTTTTTATTGAATGAATAGATTTTCAGAGATAGGGTTGTTTATTAATATGCCAACCATCAAATTAAAGTTGAGGGCTTTACAATTAATGTAATTGAGGACTATATAATTAAGATGAATATGACCCTCTAAAGATTTTGATTCCTTTTTGGGCACATTTGTTTGAGATCTTATGAGGTGGGTGAGATAGTCTTTACTTGCCCTTCGGCTGGTATGGATTCAGTCATGGGGTCGCCAACATTAAAGCATACCCATCTACCATTTCAGAGTGCTTTGATTGAATTGCATTGAAAAATCATATGCCGTAAGTTAAAGCACTAGATTTCAATGCCAGAAACTTGACCTAAAAATGGAAACGTTTACCTTGGAAGTAAGGATTGCTTATATAAAGAAAATGTTACTAAAACTATATGTTGGTAAGATAGATATAAAGGTTTGCATAATGGAAAATTAATGTAAGCAATGATATTTTATTAAAAGTATAATAAATTATTTACAATTTTAATTTGTTTGAAATTGTTTAATTTTTTTAAAATGAAATCATAAAGTATTATTATTAATAAGAGAAAATGTAATAAAACATCTTGTCTGTCTCTTTTTATTTCATATGTTACCAACATAAGAAAACAATCACAACGTCAACGCTTTTGGATTTCGTGTCTTGAACGTTGTCGCGTAAAATGGGTGAAAATTAGGAACTTTATTCCCAAAAGTTTTCTTTTAATAATGAAATTAAATTTTATTTTACTCTATCTTCGTCCTTCTAACTGTTTATTTTTTTTATTTTTAAACCGTTGAATGCATGACTTTTACACCTTAAAGTCATTCTTACTTCTTCTATTGTTCCAATAAATAGCAAGAATTTTCAACTATTTTTAATTTGTATCAAATTTTTTTCATATAATAACAAGATTTTTTTACTAGAAATACGTATAAGAGTGAAGAATGAGAATACAATTTTAGAACATATTATCCATAAACAAATTTAGGAAAATGGGTTCGGAGCTTGTTTCTAGAATTTTTTTTTTTTAGAAATATTATTATGGAACCTATCTCCCAGAACTTATTTGTTGAAGAATACATTCTGGATTAGATTTTTTTAATAAAGTAATTTGGGTCTTAATTTACAACTTCACAATAGGAAACATGTAAGAAATATTTAATATTAATGATTATTAGTATTAAAAAAATCTTGAATGAGTAATAGCACAAGAAACTGAATCAGCATATCTAATTCAGATCTAATGAGGTGTATAAGATAAGCAGTGGAGGTGCAGAACATGCATGCAAGGAAATAGAAGAATATATTAGGATATGAAACAAAAATAATTGAAAGGGTATTTAGTTATTTTACTTGATATATATAGAGATACAGGAATAAATTATGGAAGTGCAGAAAGAAAGTTACTTAAAATTTTATTAAGGCCCAATATTAATGTAATCAAGGGATAGATTCTTATATTTATGGTTGTTGTTTTCTCCACTCCATAACCCTCTTTTTTTTTTTTTAATATGTCTTTTTCACAGGGTGATTTTACCCGAGCTTTTCTAAATAAAAAATTTTGTTTGCATGGGGAGAAACAAAATAAGAAAAAAAAAAACAATGAATTCCAATCCTTTTATTTAATCAACCCCACTCTTAGCATGAATAATAAAACTTGCGTTAGAAGAAATTAAAAAAAAAAAAATGCAATTACTTATATTTTAATCCAAAAGTAGTTTCCAAGAAAATAAGTTTGACTTCAATGTATATCTCTTCGTCAACTTATTTAGAGTAGAAATTATTTAGATTGACTTGGAGGATCATTGTTATATGCAAGGTTCATTTTTATTTTTTTATTTAATTGGAAATTAATTATTGTACACCCATATAGAGTGAATTTATCAATAAATTAAGTTTTATATATAAATAATTTGAATGGGATGAATTCTAAATTATGAAATAAAATTGAAATTTATTTAATTTAATTTAAGGGACATATTACGTTACAATATATAATTGTTTATCAAGAAGTACTTTTTCGAACACACTTTTCATAAATAGTAAAAATTTCAATTTAAATATGTTTTTTTGTAATAATTTTTTAAAATTTCTGGTTTTAGTCTCTAATATTTTTGAAAGTATGTTTTTGGCTTTAAATTTGTTTAGATAACATCTTAAGTAGTAAAATAAACCGAATGAGGTTTGAGAAAAAAAAGTTATTTTTCTTTATTAAAAACAAAAATATATTTAAACACATAGTTTATTAAAAGTTATAAAATCAAAGAAAGTTCTTTAAAAATGAAACTCCAAATATGGTGTAATTTTTAATATATTCCATCTAATGATAAATTATTTTTTAAAGAGTGCGGTACTTGAAAATCAAGAAATAAAATATAATTTGTTTACACTATTTTATACCAATAAAATAGTATAACTTATTTTTCATTTCAAATAAAAAATAATTAAAAATTAAAAATATATTACAGATTTATTAATATCATATGAAACTTTTACATATACATAATTTTATTTTAAAAATCGACATTAAAAGAAATGGGGAACGTAATTAAATTTTCAATTTACATTATGGAATAAACAACACTTAGTTATGTAATTAAAATTTTTCTTATATTAAAAAAGTAGTAAACTTAAAAAAAAAAAACAAAAAAAAAAACAATTTTTAAAGGAAACTTCAGGGTTGCAAGGTTAAAACAATGGAATGGGAAGATGACATTGACATGTCCTGAAGCATCTTTCTGAGATTTATTTATCTTATAAACCAAAATTGACGCGCTTCGTTGACCTCTGAAACTCCAATTCTTTTCTTGCCAATGGACTCCACTCTTTCCTATTCTTTTCCGCACAGTTCCTCAATCCCCTGCCCACACTATTCACTCCCTTTTATGTTTCACAATCTTCATCTTCAAATCAATTCACCTGTTTTCTACACCACTCATACCACGTTTCAACTTTATCACTCACAGAGCCACCATGACTCTTACTCAATCGTATGTCACAGCTTCACTCTTCCTACAATCAATTTTGTTTGTTGGGTTTTTGATTTGTGTCTCGAAAGTCATAAACTTGAAACACTTGAATTAACTTTGGTTGTTTGTTTGTGTTGGATTAACTTTGTGTTGTGTGCTTGTTGTGGTTGCAGATTTAGCAGTGGAATTGTGCAAGCACCCTTTTTGACAAGCTCTGGTCTTCTTCCAAAAACGTGGGGTTTTATCTCTTCACGTGACGAAGGGATCGTTCCCCACGTGGGGAATGGATTGTTCTGGAGAGTTTATAAGGAGCTGGATTTGACCCTTGTGGTGTTTGAGGTCAAACATGATTATCTTCAACCGGAATTGGTTTCTTCTTCTGATCCCAAGGAGAAGAATAACTTCCTCCACTTTGAGTTTCTGTATACCAAGAAAATTCAAGATTTCTCTGTTAACAAGTCTGCAGTTTCGCTATTCATTGACAATCTTGAGAAGCTTGATGAATTGAGGTCCAAGGTGCATCTCCTCCTACCCCTTTCATTATTTTGATTTCTGTTTGAAAAATTGCAATCTGAAACACAATAGATTGTTTTAGATACTAAGTTGCTTGTGTGAACTGCATGTAAAGTAATTTGCTACAGATCTAGACAGGTATTTTGGTAGAGATCACAGGTAATGATAGGTGCTGGTTAATAAGCAAGTAAAAGCTGTTCCCTTATTGGAGGCCAGGAACGTTTACCTCCAGAAAGAAAGGAAGAAGATAGACTTTGTTTTGGTGCAAATTCACATATCCTCTTATTTCTGCAACATTTCTTATAAGGAGAGAGTCTAACAGATAGCAAACCCAATAATAGGAATATAACAAAACCAATTATTGAATGACAACACCTACTGAAATCTTAAACTGTAAATCTATGCCCCATGATAAAATTCTCATCCAAAGAACATTGTTCCTGGGACAGGTGTTTCAAAAACCAAAAAACAGAAGGGGAAATGTATCCTCATCTTCTGATTTGTATTCCAAGCTCAAGAGTGAGTCATTAGGAGTGGTGCTGTATGTGGCGAGGCATGAACTTAGCGAGAATTTCTGTTCTGTCATCTTTACCTTCATGAAAACTAAAAATAATTGTTAAAAGTTGAAATCAACACGCTTCGTTTCTTTAATTTTCTGGGAATTTAATGTTCTTCCTCTGTAAGTCCTTATAACAATGGTAATCCTAATGCAGATTGCTAGCTCCCCTCGATTGATTGTTACTGGACATGGTCTTGGAGGACCAATTGCTTCTCTCTTCACTTTATCGCAATTTGATAGCAATGATGACAAAAAGAATCCCTCAGAAAAAAAGAAACCCCCTCTCTGCATCACCTTTGGTTCTCCCCTTGTTGGTGACAAGAAGTTGCAAGAAGCCATATCTCGTAGTTCTACGTGGAGTGCTTGCTTTCTACATGTTTTCTCTTACAAAGACCAAGTTCTCAAAAGATTGCATCCTCACACCAGTGCTTACATGCCTTTTGGGACATATCTCTTCTGCTCTGATGTAAATTCTACTTGTTTTGAGTACCCCGAGTCTGCTTTGGGACTTCTCATGAGCTCAATCAATGATCAAAATCAAGGATTTCAGCCCGTAGATTATGGAAAACTTGTGGAAGATCTTTATCGTAAAGCAATTTGCAAGGACTTTATCCCACAGGGGGTGGACTTAACTCATTCTAATTCACTGCATGCAAGTATCTGTTTGCAGTTAGGTGCAGCACTAGGATTGACACCAGATATGCAGGTAGCTGAATATCTTTTAACTTCTAAACAGCTTGCATGTAAAGTAAGAACAAAACTTATAAGCAATACTATAAATGCCGTTCTCTTATCAAATTTGGAATTTCAATAATAATAAGGCGATAATTATTGAAATATTTCACCGACTTGAAATTCCGAATTTGATTAGAGAACAATACATTTTTGATACAGCATGTATGCTTAGTAAATCTTATTAGTTTTGTTACGTGTAACTAGACTATGATTTGGTAAATTATTTTTTCCTAATCTCTTGTCTAAATTTGATTTTACAGAAGCTACAACACCTGAACATTGATATAAATGCTTTGGCAACAAAGCTGGAAGGACTGGAGAATAAATTCATGAACCAGAAGAAGGTTAAATTTGACCCATCCAAAAAATTGAATGTGATGAAGATAGACATGGCGAAACTTGAATGGTACAAGAAGCATTCTAAAAGTCAAGGTATTGGGTACTATGACAGCTTCAAAAATCGTATCTCAACATTTGACCAAGATGCAATTCTGTGGCAGAAAAACCTCAGACACTACTGGAGTGACATGGTTGAAGAGGCAGAGATGAAACCTCAGACAGAAGCTGCAGCTTTTCGGACTCGCTGGCTTTTCGCTGGAACTAACTGCAGGAGAATGGTTGAGCCCCTAGACATTGCTGAATACTATCGGAATGGTCTTAGTGACTATGAGGCTAACGGAAGGTCTAGACATTATGTAGTGTTGGAGCAGTGGCTGCAAGAAGATAAGAAAGGAAAAAGTGATTCAAACAGCACAAATAGAAGGAATGTGGAATTGATTTTAACCTTTGATTCTTGCTTTTGGGCAAAGGTTGAAGAGGCTCTCCTTTTGTGTCAACAGTTGGAGAGTTTCAAAGAGAAGGAGGAGGCAAAAAGGAAGTTGCTTGAATTTGAAGACTATGTTTATGGATCACTGAAAAAGTATGAAGTGTCACCAGAGATTTTCTTGAAGGGAAGTAGTTACATGACTTGGTGGAATAAGTATAAAGGGATTGCAGGTAATCCAGGACTAGCAAGCTTCATGAGCAATCCTAATCATTGTGCTCAGTATACTGAAGGAGCATATGTTTTCCCCTGAAGTATAGTGAATGCAAGGTGTGTTGAGAAGTCGACAAATAAATTATGATTTAATCTTTCTACACATCCTTTGTGGATTTTGGGTAGGGATCTTGGTTTTGCCCTCCCTTGTACTGTGATGTTGGAAACTCTTGCAATTGTCTTTCCCTTGTAAACCTCCACTCTCATTGTTCTTGAAAATTTGAGTGTAGTGTGATGTGAATGGCTAGGTGTGAAAGATGGGCCTTTCAGCAGCTGAGATCATTAGGTTAATTTTGATGCTTGTCATTGTGGTCATTACCCTAAGATATATACTTCATATGTCTTGTTCGCTTTACTTCCTAGAAACACCCAAGAACTTGCTCACAGCCTTCTAAATGCTAAAATCAAGTAAAAAAGTTTCAAAAATCAATAAATAGATAAATGAATAAACTCAACCTTCCATTAGTACTGGACTCGGTTTTTAAACCATCTGTATTAAAAACAAATGAATAACTGAAAATTGAAAAAAAAAAGTTATTTTATTTGAGTTTTGGTTCCTATAAAATATGATCGATTTGATATTTGTGTGTATTTTAAATATTAAAAGATTATAAAAACAATGTTGTATTTAATTTCTTACTACTATAAAATTATGACATTAAATTTATTTAACATGACTTTATGTATTATTAAATATTATTACTTTACAGATAGATATCCGTTTGATTAAATGAAATGATTTGCAAGAACTCTAGTTGAACACATGACTTGCCCAAATGCATTACTTGCAAGTAGCATTGCTTTATACTAAAAGTCAAAACAATTGGTAGGTTTTAGATATAAAACCAAAATTGATAAACTGTTGAACTTGTGATAATGAACTAGGATGAGATTAAAAGAACTGTAAATATATAAATCTTGCATACATAGAAAAAAACATTTTTCCTTAAAGGTTCTCAATTTATGATAAAAAGCGTAGACGTGGGGTGTGAACTTTCACTATGGCCATAACCATTTAAAGGCTTCATGCCCCTTCTCCTTCTTCACCATAATCTGTCAGGAATTCATGCATCACAAGTTTCTAGTTCAATTTACCTGTCTGTCCTACTTTTCGAACTGTTAGTGATAAGTGAAACAATGCTCTAATTCCTCATTGGATTTGGTTTTCATCGTAACATGCATAAGTTGTATTTTTGTGGCTGTGGTTGCAGATTCAATACTGTAATGGAGCTTGCATCTTTTGTGACTAGCAGTGTTCTTCTTCAGAAATCATGGGGTGTCATCACGTCCCGTTATGCGGGCATAATTTCAATCCAGGGAGAGGGATTATCATGGAAAATTTATGAAGAACCGGATCCAGGTTTGACCATTATAGCGTTTGAGGTGATGCAACAAATTTCTTCTAATCACCAAGATTCTCCTATGGTTCCATCTCGTGCTTTCCCAGAGAATATTTTCTATCTCTTTGACTTTCTGTTTACCAAGAAAACTCCATTCTCTGTTAACAAAACTGCAATTTCACTCTGCTATGAAAATTATGAGAAGCTTGCTGAACTGCTATCCGAGGTAACCCTCCCTTCCCTTCCTTGTCATTATTCTAAGCCTATTCTCACTTCAATCAAAAGAAATAGTCAATTTAATTTGGATATTTTAGTTAAACTTATTAAAAATCAACTGATTCAACTGATCTAGACTCATGTTTATTTTATTTTTTTAACTAAATTCTGAGATTTGAAGCTTATGAATGCAAATTCTGATTAAGATAAAAGGTTCTACTAAAAATGATTAATAAGTTACTATTAGAAACTACTCATTGATAAAACTAATGAATATAGTGAGACATACATTGTTCATTCTATGAATCCTTATAACATGCTTAATGCAGGCTAATAGATCCCACTGCTTGATTGTTACTGGACATGCTCTGGGGGGACCAATAGCTTCTCTTTTCACTTTAGCACTAACAAATAGCATTGATCATAGAAAGAAACTTCCACTCTGCATCACCTTTGGTTCTCCCCTTGTTGGTGACAAGACGTTGCAAGAAGCCATATCACTTAGTTCTACTTGGAATTCTTGCTTTCTACATGTGGTCTCTTCCACAGACCAAGTTTGCAAAATATTGAATCCTCACACCAGTGCTTACATGCCTTTTGGGACATTTCTCTTCTGTTCTGAAATAAATTCTACTTGTTTTGAAAGCCCCGAGTCTGCTTTGAAACTTCTTGTGAGGTCAATCAATGATCAAAATCAAGAATTTCAGCCTATAGATTATGGAAAGATTGTGGAAAATCTCTATAATAAAGCAATTTGCAAGGACTTTACCCCAGTGGGGATGGACTTGACTCATCCTAATTCACCGCGTATAAGTATCTTTTTGCAGTTGTGTGCAGCACTTGGATTGACACCAGATATGAAGGTAATTGCATATCTTTTATTTCTAAAATGTTTGCGTTTGATGAAAACCTTATTAGATTTGTTAGTACATCTCTAATGTCATTACTTACAAACGTGGTTTCAAATAAATGTTTAACAAAATTTCTTGAAACATATTATGTGACCTTGTTTATACAAGCACAATAAATGTTGCCTGGATTTATTTGTATGCTTTGAATCGAGAAAATACTTCAATATTAGTACACAGTTATAAGACATTTTTTCCATATAAATAATTTACTGTTTGATATAATTAATATAATTTATGTACTTAATTACTTAAACACTAAGAAAATTTTTCTAATTTTACTCAAAGTTCAATATGCAGAGGATTTTAATGAAAGATGGTTCGCATTCAACTTTTATATTTAATACAATTTGAAACATTTAGAATAACTTATAAGAATAACAAAGAACGGTAGAAATAAATTATTGAAAAATAAATATGTAAAAAATTAAATAGCATAAAAATAAATATAACTCATTACCAAGGATAAAATAAAAATCGATAGAAAAAATTAATTAAAGTGACGATTCAAATTGTAAAGAACTCTATTGAAAATATTTATTTTCAATTCACAATGTTTTTTAGAATGTAAGTTGTACAATTTGACCATCACCTCAATTACCTTTATTTTATCCTATATTTTTTTTGTAACTGTTAAAACAATCATGAAAATAATAAAAATAAAGAGTAAAAATTACAAATTAAAATATTTCAAACGGTTATTTTCTTGCAACTATTTCATCTAGTTGATACACGTTCTCTTGTAACTTACGCATTTTACATAACTTATTTCTTAACCGCCTTCATCAATCTTTCGATGCACTACTAAAAAATGCTTCCCTATAACTTCTTATCGATATATCCATGTTCACTTTTTTTACTAATTAGATATTCGATTTCTAATTTTTTGAGGTTCTTCTCTTTTAATTTCTCGATTCTTATTTTGTCCATATTGACTTTTCTCTAAAAACTCAATTTTAACTACTCTTCTAACTCAATACTCCATTTTCAATTTTTACCTTCACTCTTTCCAACCAATTGATGCCGAATGAGGCTCCATCTATTCTTTGGATATTTTTTTAACTTTTAGACTTAACAACCATAAAATTAAGATAAATTACAGTATTCATACTTGCATTGTGGATGTTCATATGTGTAATGAGACTAGTATTTGGTGACTCAAATTTTTTTTGTCTTGATTCAGCAGCAGCAACAACAGAACACTGAAATGAATACTTTGGCAATAAAGATGGAAAAACTGGAAGAGAAGTTCGTTTGCCAGAAGAGGATGAAATTTTATTCATCCAAGTTATTGAATGAAGTCTTCTGGTCTAGACATCGAAATATTGGGTACTATGACAGCTACAAGAACATGGATTCACAAGGAAGAAAAGAAACTGTTGAGCTCTGTAAAATGCTCAGAAATCACTGGGAAAAGATGGTAGAGGAAGCTTTTAAGAAGGGCAAGAGGGGCTATGCAGTCTTTCAAAGTCGTTGGTTATATGCTGCGTACATGAGAATGGTTGAACCCTTAGCTATTGCTGAATACTATATAGATGGTGGTAAGTACTATGTGAATAATAGACCTAAACACTTCCTAGAGTTGGAGCAGTGGTTGGATGAATCAACAAAAGAAGGGACAATAGAAGCCAAAACAGGGACCTTGGGGGCAGCTATTTTAACACCAGAAAACAGTTGTTACTTTTTGGAATGTATTGAAAAGGCTCTCGTTTCTCGCCAATGATGAAGAGTGCATGGAAGAGAGTTTAAACATAGCAAGTGATGGGGAGAATGATGAGGTTATTTCAGCAACTTGGTCTAGCCTTAGGGCATGGGATATTGACCATCTTCTTCTTTCAAGCAAAGTGTTGAAGGTTGTTGAAGAGAATGAAGAAAATTTAAACACAGGTGGTAAGAACAACAACGATGGTGAAGAGAGTTTTTCTTTTGAGGCACGTGTTGATGCGTCTCTCTTTTCCCGCCAAGGGTCATTTGTTGGCTTAGAGAAGGAAGAAAATATAAAGAAATTTGAGTCACATGTTGAAGAGGCGTTTCTTTCTCGCCAAGAGTCTATCTCCACCAAAGAAAAGGAACAATATTTCGATAATTTAATAATTCTTTCTGATAATTCAGTAAGGAAAAAAACGAGGTCAAAGAAAGGAAATACTCTGACAGTTGATTCTTGCTTTTGGGCACATGTTGAAGAGGCTCGCAATGCATGCAAAGAGTTGAATGTTGCTGAAGAGAATGATAAGACAATGAAGAACTTGGCTAAGTTTGAGGAGTATGGGCTGCTAGAGAATTACCTAGTGTCCCCAGATATTTTCTTGCCACAATGCAGTTATATGTGTTGGTGGAATGAGTATAAAGCTATCAGGGGAACTTCATATAATTCAAAACTTGCACGTTTCATGATCGATGATGGAAACCATAAGCAGTATGCTTTGGGAGATTATGACTTCTTTTATACTATATTCACCATCTTTGGAACTCTAATTTTAAACTTTTTTTTCATAGAACTTTAGTGTTGCTGGTGGATTTTATCAACGATGGATTTACAATTTTTTCTGGGGTTTCCAGTGTACTAAGGGGTCATGCATGATCTTCTCCTTCTATACAAACATATGATAAACTGTCACATTCTTTCTTTCTTTTCCCTCTTCTAGATTCTCATCAAAATGCATTTTTTAAATGCACCTCTGTTGCTTTTTATGAAGAGGTAACTAAGAAGATTTACAACGTTTTCTAGTGAAAGGTACTTTAATTTGCAAAAATTATTGATAACTTCATGTAAACAGAAAATAAGAGCTAAATTCAATTAAAAGAAAATTAAAAACAAGTAAATTGGAATGCATCTTTAATGTAAAAGATGGCAACAAGAGTTTCCTTGTTATATTTTTGGTTTGATTGCCATCAATCAAGTTGCCTTAACTCTCTCAATTTATGATAAAAAGAAAAGACACCTATTCCAGTGTTCACAATGGCCTTAACCCTTCAGCGACTTCGTGCTATTATTGATCAACATTGAAACCCCATAACATATCTCACTCCATTGTTTGGGAGAATTGGAACATTATTCCTTCCTTACTGGATTTTGTTTTTAAGAAATAAAAGTTATGCATTGACAATGGTAAAATTGAAATTTTTTTATAATAATTACATTAAAAATCATGTCAACAGTGATCTGTGATTAGATGACAGTACAAAAGCACCACACTCTAAGTGCACCCCATTAAATGCTTAACTGTTTTTACCTAGTACTAACAAAAGAAACTAACATGAACTCCTGATTTTCATAGGAGATCTGTTTCAATCTTTTTGCTATCAGGGAGAAGAATTTCTATCACTTTGAGTTTTTGTGCTCCAAGAAAGCTCCACATTTCTCTGTTAACATCACTGCAATTTCACTCTTGTATGAAAGTTATGAGAAGCTTGATTAGTTGAAATCTATCTAAGTAACTTTGTCATCATTATTATAAGCATGTTCTGTGTTTGATTTGTCAGCAATAGTAATCAGATTCTAAAGCAGTTTAATAAACACACAAACAAAGGCAGTTTACCAAGGTTCAATTAATGTACTTATCCTCCAGCAGAGTAATGCACAACATGATTCAAGAAATAGTAAGCTTAAAAATCTTTTACTTAATTTTTGCATGCAAATTGCATGTTAATTGTGTCTTTGACAGGGATGAAAAACTTGTATTTCCTTCCATTATGATTTTGAGATGTCATATTATGAAACTAATTAACATGAGTTTGGATGTTTTATTATTAAATTCTTATTTCTATTTTGAAGTTATTTAGTGTTTATGCTGGTTGTTGTGATCATTAGCGAAGCTTTTCATAGAGGCAATCCATTTTGTTTATGATTATGGCTTTGACAATTAATTTATACATGGACCATGAATAGTATAGGTGGGAAATCAAATAGTATTTTAGGAAAGAATAAATTAGGAAATTTGTAATCTATACAGATTTGAATAATTAGGAACAATCCCATAAATCAAGGGATCCTAGAATAAAATAGAGTTATTATATTCCTAAAATAACTTAGGTCTCTTGTATATATATTGTATGATATCTTTGTATTAAAATAATAAAATAAGATTTCATTTAATCTAATTTTCCAGATGGTATCAGAGCTTCCGATCTAGGAAGTTCTGTCTGTGCATTATAAACCCTAAGACGACAACTTGTATTACTGCTACATTTTTTCTTAATCCTAAGACGACAGCCTGCATTGCTGCTGCATTTTTCTTAACTCTAAGACGACAACCTGCATTGTTGTTGCATCGTACCTTCTTGCTATAATGTCAAGGGAAGAGGAAGTTGTGAAGCCAACTCTTAAAATGGGGAATATCCAATCCCAACAATATGGAGAACTGCAGAATATCCATTCTGCATATAAACTAAATGAAAGAAATTATTTGAAGTGGGTCCAACTTGTTCGTACAGTGTTGAATAGAAAGGGGGTAGCCGAACAGAAGAAAGGAGGATCAGCAAATGTAGAGAAGAAAGATGATGGTCTCTAGTGTACCTACTGCAATAAGCCTCGTCATACTCGAGAGAAGTTACATGGGAAGCCTTTAAATCGAGATCGAGAAGGGGGACATAAAGGAGACTTCTTAAGAAAAGGAGGACAAGTTTATGTTGTTATTGAAACAAATGAAGGAAATAATCCAGAAGCTGTTGCCCATCTTAACCAAGAGGAGATAGAAAGGGTGAGAACCTATCTTAGTAAGCTAGACAAACCTACAGGTGTGTGTTCTTTGGTATACTCAGGTAAGTTTCTATTTTCTTTTGGATTAAATGTCTCAGATACATCTTTTAACCATTATTGGATATTGGACTCTGGAGCTACAGACCACATGACACCATTAGCCAAACAATTTTTCACATATTCCCCATGTCCCAGTAACAAGAAAATTGCCACAGCAGATGAAACCCTTATAATTGTAGCTAGTCAAGGAAATATCCAAATCAATCCTTTAATAACCTTAAAAGATGTTCTATACAAAAACTTATAAAGGATTTGTCATTTTAATTTTTTTTTTTAACGATCATTGTGTATTTCAGGACAAGGATTCGGGGAGGATGATTGGACATGCTAGAGAATGGAATGACCTTTATTATCTTGAAGATCCAAGTCTGCCCAACAAGAATAGAATCTCTCACTCCTTCATATCTGAATCCTTGATGACCAACAGAGAAAAAAATCATACTTTATCATTGTCGGTTGAGACATCCCTCTTTTGGAGTGATCAAAATTATGTTTCCCTCTCTGTTTATCAAGTTAGATGTTGAGAGTCTTCATTGTGAGGTGTGTGAACTTGCTAAGCACAAGTGTGTACCTCTTCCAATAAGTAATAGAATTAGCAATTTTCCTTTTTATCTTGTTCATACTGATGTATGAGGACATTCTAATGTTCCAAATGTGTCTGGTGCTCGATGGTTTGTCACCTTTATAGATGACTGTACAAGGGTCACTTGAGTTTTCCTACTTAAACAAAAATTAGAAGTCAGTTCTGTCTTCCTAAACTTCCATTCCTTGATAAAAAATCAGTTTGGTGTTAATATTAAGAGGCTTAGGTCAGATAATGCCAAAGATTACTTCAATCATGTCCTTAATTCTTTTTGTCAAAAAGAAGGTATAATTCATGAGTCTTCTTGTGTCAAAACACCACAGCAGAATGAGGTCGCAGAGAGGAAAAATGGACATCTATTAAATTAAACTCGGACATTGTTGTTCCAAAAAAATGTCCCAAAAAATTTCTGGGGGAAGCTGTCCTTATAGCAACATACCTTATCAATAGACTACCCTCTAGAGTCTTAGGATAAAAAAGCCCTATGGAAGCTTTGTCGTTTTTCTATCCAAATTTGTCCACTACAAATAATCTTAAACCAAGAGTTTTTGGGTGCATCTCATATGTCCATATTCATAGTATAGACAGGGGAAAATTTGATTCTAGAGCCTTAAAGTGTGTCTTTGTTGGTTACTCACCCACTCAGAAAGGGTATAAATGCTACCACCCCCTCATCCAAAAAATTATTTGTATCTAGGGATGTTACCTTCAATGAACAAGAGAGTTATTTCCATCAACCTTATCTTCAGGGGGAGAGTTAAGGAAGATAAGGAAAGTAGTAATTCTGGTTTTCCCATCCTTCCAGACTTGATATTTGAACCTAAACAAGATCAAATTGAAAGTAGTAATTCTGGTTTTCTCATCCTTCCAGACTTGATATTTGAACCTAAACGAGATCAAATTGAAGCTATAACAAGTGAAACAAGTCAAGGAATTGGTCAAGAAAAGGAAGTTGGTCAAGAAAGTAAAATTAATTGTGAAGTTGATCAAGAAGATGTTGAAGCTGGAAAATTTGGTAAGAAGCTGGTGTACTCAAGGAAAACTATGGCCATTCCAGGATCAAGCCATGTTCAAGAATCCAACTCGACTCCACAAAAAGAGGTAACAATTTTTTCTCCAGCTGTGCAGGTTGAAATTGAAACCCAAAATGATTCTGACCTCCCAATTGCCATTAGAAAAGGGACAAGAAAATGCACCAAACAACCACTCTACCCTCTCTCAAATTACTTGTCCTTTAAAAATTTCTCTCTTACCCATAAAACCTTCCTAGTAAACCTAAACACTATACTTCTACCTAATACCCTGTCTGAGGCATTGTTTGACAGAAAATGGAGGCAAGTCATGGATGTAGAGATGGAGGCATTGGAGAAGAACAACACTTGGGAGTTAGTCACCTTACTAATAGGAAAGAGGCCAGTTGGATGTAAGTGGGTCTATACAGTGAAATACAAGACTGATGGATCAATTGAGAGATATAAGACAAGACTAGTTGTCAAAGGGTTCACCAAAACCTATGAAGTTGATTATTTGGAGACCTTTACTCCGGTTGCCAAAATGAACATAGTTAGGGTGATATTGCCCCTTGCTGCCAATTATGGTTGGAACTTGGAACAATTTGATATTAAGAATGCTTTCCTACATGGAGACCTTGAAGAAGAAATTTATATGGAGATACCTCCGGGATATGGTAGAGACGTTGTTGTCAACATTGTTTGCAAGTTGAAAAAGACATTATATGGGCTAAAACAGTCCCCCCGTGCATGGTTTGGCGGGTTTACTAAAGTTATGACAGGTCTGGGTTACAAACAAAGCCAATGGGACCATACTTTGTTCTTTAAACATTCCAAGACAGGGGGAGTAACAATATTATTGGTGTATGTGGATGACATAATATTAACTGGAGATAATAAAGAGCAGCAATTGTTGAGCCAAAGCTTAACAAAGGAATTTAAGATTAAGACCTTGGGAAAACTAAAATATTTTTTGGGAATTGAAGTTGCCCACTCCAAGAAAGGGATATTTATATCCCAGCAGAAATACATCACTAATTTGTTCAAGGAAACTGGCAAGACAGCTTGCAAACCTGCTAGTACCCCATTAGAACCAAACCTAAAGCTTGGAAATGCAGAAGAAGATGTTGCTATTGAAAAAGATATGTATCAGCGATTAGTGGTCAGACTTATACATTTGTCGCATACCAGGCCAGATATTGCCTATGCAGTGAGTTTAATTAGCAAATTTATGCATAACCCAAAGGAGACCCATTTACAAGCAACCCACAGAATTTTACAGTACCTTAAAAAGAATGGTAATGTGAAGCTTGAAGTCTGTACTGATGCTGATTATGTTGGGTCAATTGTGGATAGGAGGTTAATTACAGGATATTGCACCTTTCTTGGATGAAATCTTGTGACTTGGAGAAGCAAAAAGCAGGGTGTAATGGCTCGGTCCAGTGCTGAAACGGAATTCCGAGCCATGGTATATGTGAGTTGTTATGACTTAAAATCATCTTAGAAGACTTGAGGATAAAATAGGAAGAACCTATGAAACTCTATTGTGATAATAAGTCAGCAATTATCATAGCCCACAACCCAGTGCAATATAATAGAACAAAGCATATTGAAGTAGACAGACACTTCATCAAAGAAAAGCTTAGTGGCTTGATATGCACTCCATATGTGTCCTCTCAAGACCAAATTGCAGACATTCTTATCAAGGGACTGGACTGCCACAATTTTGAGAAGATTGTATCCAAACTAGGAATGAAAAACACTTATTCACCAAACTTGAGGGGAGTGCGAGAAATCAAATAGTATTTTAAGAAAAAATAAATTAAGAAATTTGTAATCTATACATATTTAAATAATTAGGAACAATTCCATAAATTAAGGGATTTAGAATAAAATAAAGTTATTATATTTTCTAATATATTATATAATTTTTTTATATTAAAATAATAAAATAAAATTTTATTTAATCTAATTTTTCAAAATATATATATACACACACGTCTACAATTTATGACAAAAAATAAAATAAAAAATTGACGCGGTGTGTTGACTTACCTTACCTTACTCTACTCTATTCTTTGAAATGGCATCAACCAGTAGAGTCCTTTTTCCTCGTTGTTGATGAAACCCATAGTTATTCTCCTCTGCACTCATCATCACCGTCAAAAGTTCGTCTTCTACTCTTGGAAGCACCATGCCCCCATCTGAATTGTATGTGATAAACTGAAGCATTATTCCTTGTTGGGTGTTGGTTTTTACATGAAACACAAAAGAAACTAACATTAATTGTTGCTTCTCATAGCTAGTATTAATTATGTTGCATTATGTGTGCTTCTGGTTGCAGATTTAGCAGTGGAATGGAACTAGCATTTTTTGTGACAAGCTCTGGGCTTCTTCGCAGATCATGGAATGCTATCTCGCATTGTCATGAAGACATAGGTTCAAACAAGGGAGAGAGATTGTCGTGGACAGTTTCTAAAGATCCTGATTCAGATTTTACTATCATAGCATTTGAGTCAACTTTAGACTTTTCCAATCTTCTTCAGGAATTGGTTCCATCTTATGCTCTCACGGAGAAGAATTTCCATCTGTTTGAGTTTCTGCGTACCAAGAAAAATCCAGAGTTCTTCGTTAACATCACTGCAATTTCACTCTTCTATGTAAATTACGAGAAGCTTGATCAGCTGAAATCCGAGGTACATCTCCTACTTTTTTCCCCTTTGTCATTTGAAAATTTGCAAGCTGAGAACTCCTTTATCTTACTGTTTATACTTCATTGTTTCTTTGACATGCTTATAGAACTTTGCATTTCCCTGCAAACAAGCATATTTATATGTTTATAATTTAATTTATAAATTACTTCAAACAAACTTAATTTATAAGTGTATGTTTCAAATGACAAACACTTCAACTTTTTCTTTCGCTTTCTTCACTTCTTTTTTACTAGCCACTGTTTTTCAAGCAAAGGAGTCTTAAATGAGGATTACTCTTAGAATTTGGGGTTTTAGCCTAACTTATCTGGAATCTCAAACACACTTCCTTTACATAGATGATTAGACAAATTTTGCAGTACTGAACAACTGAAACTAGACTCTACAGCAATTAATAGGACAAACTCTATTCCATTTTAGCCTAACAAAACTGGCTTGTAAAATTATCCCTCATATAATTGAATTTGGTTATATATACGCGTTTCCAACTATTGCTTCCTGTGAACTTCAGAGTGCTTGGGATAATAAAATTATAAAGATAAGTTTCAGTTAACCTTATAGCAGTTGTTTGCTATTTTTGTCTTGAAAATATTGTAGATCCTCTACATACTTGTATTATTCTTTCTATGTAAATCCTTACATAACAATTATAATGCAGGTTTTTAGTTTGACACCATTAATTGTTACTGGACATGGTCTTGGAGGATCAATTGCTTCTCTCTTCACTATATCACTATTAGATAGCATTTGGTTAGGGAAGAATCGTCCACTTTGCATCACCTTCGGTTCACCTCTTCTTGGTGACAAGAAGTTGCAAGAAGTCATGTCAAGTTGTTCTACTTGGAGTTCTTGTTTTTTACATGTTGTGTCACTTAAAGACCCTTCTGTTACTGCATTGCCTCCTCATACCGACGCCTACATGCCCTTTGGGACATTTCTACTTTGTTCTGATATAAACTCTACTTGTTTTGAGAATCCCGAGTCTGTTTTGGCACTTCTCGTGGCTGGCTCAGTACATGATCAAAATCAAGGATCTCAATCTATAGATTATGGAAACATTGCGGAAAGTCTCTACCATAGAGCAATTTACATGGACTTTACCCTAAGGACACAAGACTTGACTCATTCTAATTCGCTGCGCGCATGTATTTGTTTGCAGTTGTGGTCAGCACTAGGATATATGCAGGTAGCTGAATATCCATTTTTTTCTAAACTCTTGCATTTTAACTAAGATAAAATTTAGATACATTACTATAAATATTGTCGGTATTGTTCATCAATCTGATTTGGAATTTCACCTCAGTAGTATGCTATGGAATTTAATGCAATATTTTAAGTTTTGTCTTTTAAGTAAACCACATTATTAGTGTACTTTCTTATGACTTAGAAATTTTCCTCATCTCATCTAAAGTGTTGCTTTGGCAGCAGCAACAACACCAGAATGTTGATATAAATGCTTTGATAACAAAGTTGGAAATACTCGAACACAAATTCTACTACCAGAAGAGGGTAAAATTTATTCCATCCAAGAAATTGAATGTGATGAAGTTAGACATGGTCAAACTTGAATGGTACAAGAAGTATTGTAATAGTATAGGTATAGGGTACTATGACAGCTACAAGAATGGTATGTCAACTTCGGATCAGGACGCTATACGTTCTCACCTAAACCTCACAAATTACTGGAGAGGTACAGTGGAAGAAGCAAAGCTTAAGCCTCAAAAAAGAAATGCAGCCTTTCGTAAAAGCTGGCTCTATGCTGGTACTAGCTACAGGAAAATGGTTGAACCCCTTGCTATTGCTGAATACTATAGCAATGGGGGTAAAGACTATGTCACTAAGAATAGACCTGAACACTTTGCACTGTTGGAGGAGTGGTTAAGGAATGAGTTGACAAAAGATGCAGCTAATGAGGAAGGTATTGGTAATTGGGAAGACTGGAGTTTCTATTTGGATTGGCGTGTGACTGTTGATAAATGTCTTGTTTCCAGCAATGGGTTGAAGGTGGATGAAGAGGAGGAAGACAATTCAATGTTAAGAAGTGATTGTGAGAATGATGAAGCTATTTCTTCAACAAATGGTTTTGGCTTTCAGTCACGCGTTAACCAGCTTTTGCGGTCAAGCGAAGGGTCAAAGTATGCTGAAGAAAATGAAAAGAGTTTAAATTCAAGAAGCAAGAAAAATGACACAAATAATTCTTACTATAAAGCACATGTTGATGAGTTGCTCCTTTCCTGCCAAGGATCAAACAAAGAAGAAAATGTAAACAAATTTGAGTTACATGTTGATGAGGCTGTTCTTTCCCGACAAGGATCCATTGCTGTCAGAGAATTGGAAGAATTTTTTTTCAGAGCAAAAAAGAAGAATGTGGAAATTATTTTAACATTTGATTCATGTTTTTGGGCACATGTTGAAGAGGCTCTCATTTCATGCAAAGAGTTGGAGGTTCTCAAGGAGAAGGAAGAGACATTGCAGAAACTAGTTGAATTTGAGGAATATGTTTATGGGTTGCTCAAGAATTATGCAGTTTCACCAGAGATTTTCTTGGCAAGAAGCAGCTACATGCGTTGGTGGAATGAGTATAAAGCAATTAAGGGAGCTTCATATAGTTCACCACTTGCAAATTTCATGAATGATACTAGGAAACTAGCGTTGTATACTTCGGGAAATTATGATTTTCCTTGAAAGCAAAAACTCCAAGTTCTCATTAAAACTTGTTAAAAATCCAAACAACATTAATAAATCAACGGTTGCATGAGATAAATGTTGCTCTAAATCATTTTTATATAGGTGGTGGTTTATCATGAACTAATATTATAGTTGATAAGAATTTTTAAAATTTTCCAAAACTAAACCATTGTGTGTAACATTTGATTATTCCCTTTTAATGTAGGATGTTAGAACTAATTGTTGTAAAAGCTGATAGAGACACGAACAAACTTTATTCCTGAGGCGTGTATAATCACTGCCTTATGGACTTATCCGCGGTGTATTGTGCAAGTCCCCCAGGATACAACAGGAATTTTTCGGAATATCCGAGGATCTCAGAAACTAGCAAGAAACTCTCAAAAGAGTAAATTAACCCAGGAATACAGAAAGAAGATCAGAGAAGAGAAGATGAGATAGGTGTGTTCTGAAGAGTGTGAAGTGGTTTCTATTTATAAGAGAGAGTCTGTAATAGTTATGGAAGACTTGGTAGTGGGTCTGTAACGTTCCCTGTAACGTTCTCTGAAATAGTCTTCTGCAACGTTCTCTGAAATAGTCTTCTGCAACGTGTGTGAAAACACTTTTTTGAAAGGGTCTTCTGCAACGTTCTCTGAAACAGTCTTCTGCAACGTGTGAGAACACGTGCTCTGAAACGGTTTTCTGCAACGTGTGAGAACACGTTTTCTGTTTTGCAATACCCCTTAATTTACAACAATCCCCCACATATTGCAAAACAAAAGGGGATAAACGAAATAAAAGAAGAAAATCCTGGGTCTCATATAAGATGTAATGCATCAGAGCTGGTATAGCAAGCTATATGAACAAGTCTTAGACTAAAAAAACCTTAACACACAGTGTAGTTGGTGTAACAAGCTATATGAACCAAAACACTTAATTTGTGTTAGCGGTTTTAATAATCACAATACACCCCCACAATTCTTGTTGTTATCGCTGTGTTGCGCTTACTAGGCCATGCGCGTGCCCGGTATTCATGAGTGCTCTAGAAATCTTGCAAAGATTTCATACAAGCGTATGCTGCAAATCATACACCACCCTTAAGGGATATGAAATCATTTAAAAACTTTGTTTAGACTAAAATTCGTACACCACATAGAATTTTAATTACAAAGTTTAACCTCTCAATGATGCAGTATCTAGCACGTTCACACATATACACCATAGGAATGAACATAATTGATTTTAATCAATTTTAGTGCTAGCAGGACTAACAAGTGACTTGTTTTTACCCATATGAACCTTATTCATGGGATCTCCAATCACAAAGGTTGGGTTACCATCACCTGTTTGTTTGCAAGTTGCTTAAGTCTCATTCCCCTCGATGTTTCTAAAATCATATTTCTCGTTAAGGATTTTGTCAGAGGAACTGCTAGATTCCGTTCTGACTTCACATAGTCAATGGAAATTGTTTCATTCTTTAGCAGCTGTTTCACTAAATTATGTCTCAACTGTATATGTCTGTTTTTTCCATTGTAATTCTTATTTTTTGCTATAGCTATTGCCGATTGACAATCACAGTGTATTAATACCGACGGAATCGGTTTCATTCCTAATGGAATGTTTACTAAGAAGTTTTTCAACCACTCAGTTTCACTACCAGCCATTTCGAGAGCAACAAATTCAGATTCCATTGTTGATCTTGCAATAATTGTTTGCCTGGCTGATTTCCATGTAATCGCACCACCCCCGAGTGTGAATACATAGCCACTAGTGGATTTTGTCTCATCTGAATCAAAGATCCAGTTAGCATCATTGTACCTTTCTAGTACAGCGGGAAATCCACTATATTCAATGGCATAATCCATTGAACCTCTTAAGTATCTCATAAGTCTTGTAAGTGCATTCCAATGTTCTTGATTAGGACATTGAGTGTACCTACTCAGTCTACCTACTGCATAAGCAATGTCAGGTCTAGAAAAGCTCATTAAATGCAATAAGCTCCCAATTACCTGGGCATACTAAGGTTGAGAGATTGAGTCTCCTCTATTTTTCTTTAACTTAGAGTTAACATCATAAGGGATATTCACTGGTTTGGCGTTATAACACCCAAACTTCCTAAGAAGTTTCTCAATATATTGTTCTTGGGATAGAAAAATACTATTGCCCTTCCTTATGATTTTAACTCCCAAAATCACATTGACTTCACTCATATCTTTCATTTCAAATTTAGATCCCAGAAACAACTTAGTTCTGGAGACAATGTCAATGCATGTACCAAATATTAACATATCATCTACATATAAACATATAATGACACATTCACCACTCTTAAATTTAGAGTACACATATTTATCAACATCATTAATTGAAAAGTCATTACAAAGTAGAACACTATCAAGTTTTTCATGCCATTATTTTGGTGCTTGTTTTAATCCATATAAGGATTTTAAAAGTATGCACATTTTGTTCTCTTGACCTGGAACAACACACCCTTCAGGTTGAGTCATATAAATTTACTCCTCTAATTCACCATTCAAAAAGGTTGTCTTAACATCCATTTGGTGTATAACTAGTTTATGGATAGTTGCTAGAGCTAACAAAACTCGAATAGCGGAAATCCTAGTCACAGGGGCAAAGGTGTCAAAATAATCAATGTTGGATTTTTGAGTAAAACTCTTTGCTACTAATCTTGCTTTATATTTATCTATGGATCCATCAGAATGATACTTTTTCTTAAAGATCTACTTACAACCAATATGTTTTGTTCCTAGGCAAATCTACCAAAGTCCAAGTATTATTTTTCTTAATTGAATCAATTTCAATCTTAATGGCCTTATCCCAATTGCATCAGGAGTCCTAGTAGCCTCTAAAAACTCATTGCATCATTTTCAACTAGATAAGTGTATAAATCATCTCCAAAGGAGGTTTCCTTCCTTTGTCTTTTACTTCTCTTCAAATCTTCATATATTTTATCACTATTAATCTCTATAGATTATTTAGGTGTCTCACTAACCTTTAGAGAAAATATGTTCAAAGAACTCAACATTTTTTGTCTCCACTTATGCTCAATTACATCACTTTTGAGGACAAGAAACCTATAGGTAGCACTACGTTCTGCATAGCCTAAGAACATATGATCAGAAGTTTTAGAACCTATTTTCCTTTTCTTATGATTAGGTAACATTACCTTAGCTAAGCATCCCCACACTCTTAGATATTTAAGATTAGGTTCATAACCTCTCCATAACTCATAGGGAGTTTTACCAGTTTTCTTAAAAAACACACTGTAAGTATATATTCTCTCAGAGGTTATTTGGTGCACTAGAGTTGTTTGATTAAGTATAATTTGGTGTATATAGAGTAGTCATCTATAAATGTCACAGATCATATGAATGAATAATATAAGCAGAAGAACAAAATTTATTAACAATATTCCTTCCCTACAAGGACATTATTATTTTTTTGTCATAACAATCTTATCAGATTCAAATGACACTTTAACCGCAACTTTTCTCAACAATCCTACAAAGATTATATTAGCTCTGATTAATGGCACATGTAGCACATCATTCAAGGTCACAATCTTTCCAGATGTGAGCTTTAGAAGAACTCTTCCTTCTCCTAAGACAGGAGTTGTCCTAGAATCACTAAGATAAATATGTTCTTCTCCATCCCCATACTAGTGTAGGAGGTAAAAGTACTTCTGTTTGCACAGATGTGCCTGGTAGTACCAAAGTCTACCACTCATTTGCTCACATTTGTCACAAGGTTTATTTGAGAAACAACCGCAATAATTGTATCTTCTCCCTCGGCTAAATTTGCCTTAGGAGGATTGTCGTTTTTCATTCTACGTCTGCACTGAGGTGCATGATGACCTAACTTTCCACAAAAATCAATTTTCTTTTTTTCTTGAACGTAAAGTGGGGTTAGATCCACTGATTTCATACAGTAAACCATTTCTTATACGTATGTACAAAATAATATAAGGACAAAATAATATTCTACTTATACGTATATGTATGTACAAAATAATATGTGGACAAAATAATATTCTACATGAATGTACAAAATAATATGTAGATCTAGTCATACATTGTATACATGTAATTGCTAATTATTCATAAATAAAATCTCTCATAACATATAATAATTTTGCATGATTTCTCCCATAACATAAAATAATTATGCATAATGCATTTTTCATTTTCTCTGTCGTATTGGTGTAATAAATCCGAAAAAGGAACTTGTGTTTGACACGTATGCTCTATGGACAAGTTGCATGATGTATATTGATAGCATTTGATCTAAAAGTTTACCTTTCTTTCATTATAATTATAACATGCAATAATCAATTTCATATATGATTCACCTTTAACCCAATCACGTAATTTGCTTTTTCAATTAAACTCAATTACAGGGTCATTCACATATTACAGTGCCATTCACACAGGGACTATGAAATTAATTTCAATTTGAAATTGATTGTAGCTATAAAACATAGATTATCATTTATTCCTTTATTCAATTTTGGGAAAAACATAATTTAAAAATTATCATAAGAGAAAAATCATAAATCTAATAAGTATGGCTCTGATACCACATGTATTTTAATTTGTAGTTTTTATACGTTCCTATTTCTATAAAACTACTCTTCACGTTTAGATTCTTTATTCTCACGTAATAGCATACATGAATCATAATCATATAATAACATACATGAATTGATTCTCATATAATAACATACATGAATCATAATCATATATAATAACATACATGAATTGATTCTCACATAATAACACACATAAATCATAATCAGAAGACTAACCTTGATCCATGAGCACTTCATAATTCCCTTTCTTTCACTATCCAATATTCTAAAACTGTTGAAGGAAGTTGTTGATGTTCGTACTGTCAGCCATAAGTCCTTAAGATTGTTGTAAAAGCTGATAGAGACACGAACAAACTTTATTCCTGAGGCGTGTATAATCACTGCCCTTAAGGACTTATCCGCGGTGTATTGCGCAAGTCCCCCAGGATACAACAAGAACTTCTCGGAATATCTAAGGATCTCAGAAACTAGCAAGAAACTCTCAAAAGAGTAAATTAACCCAGGAATACAGAAAGAAGATCAGCGAAGAGAAGATGAGATATGTGTGTTCTGAAGAGTGTGAAGTGGTTTCTATTTATAAGAGAGAGTCTATAACAGTTATGGAACTTGGTAGTGGGTCTGTAACGTTCCCTGTAACGTTCTCTGAAACAGTTTTCTACAACGTTTTCTGAAATAGTCTTCTGCAACGTATGTGAGAACACTTATTTGAAAGGGTCTTCTGCAACGTTCTCTTAAATAGTCTTCTGTAATGTGTGAGAACACATTCTCTGAAATAGTCTTCTGCAACATGTGAGAACACGTGCTCTGAAACAGTTTTCTGCAATATGAGAATACGTTATGTGTTTTGTAATACCCCTTAATTTACAACACTAATAAGTAGACATCACGTTCTTGAATTTATTGTGAATTTCATCCTTAAAATTAAAGTCTTCACCACGTAATTCAAGTCTTCCAAACTTCTTATCAGTCTCTTCGTAATTCAAAGGTTGCCTTTTGACTTTTGCTCAATTGACTAGCTTCATCTCACATTAGATTGTTATATCATCTATGAGTTCATCACTTTACCTTTACAAAAACTCTCAGAAACCATAAGAATATCAAGATAATTTGATTGTTATTATTTTTTTATTTCCAAAAATTAACAACTAAAGAATGAAGAAAGGTTCTAAAGCTTAAGGAGTAATCTATAATCAGTTCAACTTTTCTCAAATATCATGCAAGTATACCTATCAACAAATAACCTCCAAAAATTATTTCAAATTTTAAAATAACCTGGTTTTGATTTAGGGTTTAGGGTTTTTTCCATTTTTTTTCTTGTTAATAGTAAATTTTTTGTTTCAAAAGATTACTATCACCCTATAAAACATATCTTCAAAAAAATTATAAAAAGTATCGTTTTAATCCAATTCTTTATATCACAATAAAATTAATTATTTCTATTTAACAAAATATTAATTATAATAAAATACTTCAGTTTTAATTATAATAATGTTTTACTTTATTACATATTAGCTTTAAATAATATTCTCTATATTATGATAGTTTCTCCTTTCCTATCTAGTTCAAATTTATGACAAATATTTAGAATAGAAAATGTACTACTAATAATAACATACATTTTGTAATTAAAACATAATTTAGTTCTTGATAAATTTATTATTTCCTTAATCTTGATAAATCATGTAATAATAAGATCTTATAAATAGAATTAAAGAAAGTAATAGTCTTTTTTACTTTTTTATTTATTTTTATACCTAAATGATAATCATTTTTAAATATTTTTTTCACATTTTCTTCTGTATTAACCTTACAGCAATAAAAAGTTGCTAATATAGTATCACTTACTAAACTAAAAAGAAAAATAGTTAAAAAAATAATTTTTTAAGTTAAATTACATGAAATACCTTTTTAATTAAAGTGTTATAACCTTAAATATTATTAGGATATTGAAAAAAGACAATTAAATAATTTTTAATTATTGAATTAATTTCAATGCACATAACACCTCAAACCCAACCCCACGACACACCATCGTCACCGCGTTAATCTAAGTGCCACTTAGTAAAACATTAATACTAAATTTCACATTTATTTTTTAATTTAATTTCTTAAAAAAAATATTGTTTATTATTATTATTGTTTAATATTATTACAAGAATTTCAATTGCCAACTAAAAAATAATAGCCGTGGATGTCGCCAATCTATATCTAGCAACATGACAGCTCACACAGTGTCCCCACTCCAAAACGCACACATCCCGTGACCATAGTCCCACTCTCACGTCGTCGCGCGTGTTTCCCACTTTCCACACTTCTCAAACGCAAAACATAACCCCTTCCACTCTTCACTTTCCATCACTTCACTCTATCTGTATCTAAGTTTTTTTTTCTTTACTTTCTCAGTTCGTAGTTAACGCAATGTCTTCGTTTTCTCTTACGTTGCTCACATTAATGTCGTTCTTCTGTTTCTGCGTTAACGCGCGTCTAACGTTGGACTTCTACAAGGACTCGTGTCCGCAGTTCGCGCAGATCATCCGCGACACCGTGACCGCGAAACAGATCGCGAGCCCCACGACGGCGGCCGCCACGCTCCGCCTCTTCCTCCACGACTGCCTCCTTCCCAACGGATGCGACGCCTCCATCCTCCTCTCCTCCACGGCGTTCAACAAGGCGGAGCGCGACGCCGACATCAACCTCTCCCTCCCCGGCGACGCCTTCGACCTCGTCGTCCGCGCCAAGACCGCCCTCGAACTCGCCTGCCCCAACACCGTCTCCTGCGCCGACATTCTCTCCGCCGCCACCCGCGACCTTCTCACCATGCTCGGCGGCCCCTTCTACCCCGTCTTCCTCGGCCGCCGCGACGGCCGCTTCTCCTCCGCCGCCGCCGTCCCCAACCACCTCCCCACCCCCTCCATGCCCATGTCCCAAATCACCCAAATCTTCACCAGCCGCGGCTTCTCCGTCGAGGAGTTCGTCGCTCTCACTGGGGCCCACACCGTCGGATTCTCCCATTGCTCTGAATTCGTAACCAATCTCTCCAACTCTTCTTCTTCCTACAACCCTCGTTTTTCTGAAGCTTTATCAAAAGCTTGCGCCGATTACAGAACCAACCCTACCCTTTCCGTCTTCAATGACATCATGACTCCGAACAAGTTCGACAATGTGTACTTCCAGAACCTTCCGAAGGGTTTGGGCGTGCTGAAATCTGATCACGGGTTGTATAGCGACCCTTCTACAAGACCCTTCGTGGAGAGCTTCGCAAAGGATCAAAATAGGTTTTTTAGGGTTTTTGCCTCGGCGATGCAGAAGCTGAGTCTGCTAAATGTGCAGACGGGGAGGAAGGGGGAGATCAGACGCAGGTGTGATCAGATTAATTGATTCTTTCTTCTTCTTTTTTGGAATCAGTTCATGAGATGAGATTTTATGATTTATAAAGATAATGAGCATGATAATGGGAATGGGAATGTGAACGAAATTGAAACCTCTGTTGTGCATGAATTCGATGTTTTGAGGTTGATTATACATACATAGTTTTGGGTTGTGTGAGGTGGGAAAATGGGGGTATTGAGTTATTGTTGTTGTTGTTCTTGGCCCCTCTTGTTCTTGGATATTATAAATTTTAACTAATAAAGTTTCTCATTTTACGCATCTTTTCTTGAAATATTAGAAACTCGCCTTTGATATTTCAAAGAGTTTTTAGATTGAATACAAATTGGTGTGGAGTGATTGAATGCCGATTCTCTGCAAAATAGATATTTTCTTATTACTTGTTCGTGTTTTTCAAATGCTTTGGTGAGAAATAATCTTCATCTCAGAAAAGTAATTTTTGAAATTGAGTTAGATGAAAATCAAATAGGATATAAAAATGATTGTTGCTAAATCAAATATGTTGAAGGGTACAACTAGTTCATTGTATCACTACAATAACATGTGTTTCAAATCATGTCAATTTTTACTAAAGTCTCTAACTTTCATTAAGACGGGCACATGGTGTTAATCTTATATTAGTTAATGAAAATATCAAAATAAATGTATGCATTCAAACATGTTTGTTTGGACAAACTTTTTTATAAGAATTTCAAAGAAAAAAACATTAAAAAATAAATAAAATTATCCTTTCATAAATTAAAATTAGTTTATACGTAAATTAAATATAAATTTAAAGAAGTTAAATAAATGATTTTCATAAATTAATATACCTATAATTTATAGTTATATATACAATGAGATTATCGGAGTAAGAAAAAATATGAAAGACTAAAATATTATATATAATTAGTGAATGATATATTTAAAAAATAGAGAAAAGAAAAGAAAAACTAATTATATAACAAATAAAAAACTCAATTTTCAACTCGAAATTTCATTGATAAAGTTTGAAAGAATAAGAAAAAACTCAATAAATCTTTTTTCTGAAAAAGTTATTCCAAACGAATTAAAAAACTCATTTTTTAGTCTAAATTTAAATTTATATTCCACGAGTAACTAATCATAGGTTAAATATTAATTTTTTAGTATTAAGTTTACTTATGGAATATTTTGTGACTTTTTTTCATAAATAATACTATTTTCAAAAATATTTACCAAAATAGCACCTCTCGTAATTTTATTTACACAACTAGCATCATTTCTTCGTTCACGTAATAAAATAATATTATTTCACGCAATCGTTCACTCGTTCACTGTATTAAAATAATATTATTTCAGCGTCTGAACTCTCGCTCAAGCGAAGAAAACCTGTAACAAAGGGGTAATCTGGGGTAAATTCTCGCTCAAGCGAAGGTTTTCTCGCTTGAGCGAAAAGTATGATCGACTATTATCCAATTATAGTCGATCACTTTGACATATATGACTTTAGATAGCGGTTATTTGGCCAACCGCTATCTAAGGTGACTCAAGCGAACTGCGTTTGGCGTTTCATGATTCGGTCATTACTCGCTCAAGCGACAAAGTCACCGCTTGAGCGATGAAGCCTTCAAACAAGGGGGACTCTCGGGTTCTGTTTCGCTCGAGCGAGGCGTACTTTCGCTCGAGCGATAAGTGATTGAAATATGTGGTGACGCAAGTTGCATTATGTGGCTAACTGCGTTGGACGTTTAGCTATGGTCAACTATCGCTCAAGCGCGAAATCATCGCTTGAGCGAGAAAACCTGCAGGGGACCCAGGTTGCATTATATGATGTTGCTGAAAGGGGAGTTTGTTCTGTTTATGAAATTATATTGTTTCTGTATTGTTTTACCTGGAGCTGACTGTAATTGATTCATTGAAGGTGAATATGGGGATGATAGCATGTTAAGAGAATTTAAAATTTCTTGACTGATGGTTGGTTGGTTACTCAGGGTTAAAGTGTTTGAGGTTGTGGGGCTGTCAAGCATCAATTCTGTGGAGTGGCTTAGAATGATCAAAGAAGTGTTTTTACAGTATTTTAATCGATACAAATTTAGAACCCATTATGACCGATCAGATTTGAAATATGAGCGATCAGAACTTATTTCAATCGATTAAAACACGTTTCAATCGATTAAAATTACTTCAAGGGTCAGAATGATCGATCAGAATGCAGTTATGACCCATCAGAGTTGGTTATGATCGATCAGAATTGAATTATGACCGATCAGATCTGTTTCAATCGATTATAACGTATTTCAATCGATTAAAATAACTTGGAAAAATTTTGTACAGAGTTTCAATCGATTAAAACGCGTTTCAACCGATTAAAACAACTTTGAAAAAGTTTGTACAAAGTTTTAATCGATTAAAACTTCTTTTTATCAGCTAAAATAACTTGGAAAGTATTTATAAGAAAGTTTTGCAGTATATCAATCGATTAAAACACGAAACAATCGATTGAATCAAACTTAGAAAAGTTTTGTAAAGTGTTTTAATTGATATAACCGTTGTAGTATCAGCTAAAACAAATCTGTTAAAGAATGAAGAACGTATTAATGGATTGAAAGGACTTTTAACAGATTGAAACGGCTATTTCAACAGATTAAAACAAACTTTCAACAGATTAATTAATGCAGCAGTTATGAAAATACTCTTTAAAATCAGTTTGCTTGAACTTTTTAAACATACATTGAATAAGATCTTCGTTTTATCAAATGATTCAATAAGATCTTCATCATTTTCAATTAATTGAAAAACTCCTAAGTTTCATACATTGAGACATCTCTTAACTAACACAATCTAATGATGCGAAGTAGATGCACATGCAATATTGGGACATGTTCTTCTGCTATGACCAGGGGTATGACAATATGAACATTTTTTAATCCTACTTTGATGTTCTGTAATGTCCATCTCAGTTCTTATACGACTTGATTTTGGTCGGCCCTTTGAAGTTCTTTTCATTTCTGGATTTGCACACAAAGTAGGTCCTGTGTATGTTGGCCAATATTCTTCATTTCGCAATAACCCAAATTGTGTTCCGTATACCTTTGAAACTTGTTGTAAGGTATACACTGAATTAATATAGTTGTTGAAGTCATGGTGTGCATGCTTGCATGCAGCAAGAACATGTGAACAAGGCATGTGAAATTTTTGGAATTTCCCACAGTCACACCATAACTCATCAAGGTGAACTGCAAACTTCCCTGCTGGTCGAACTTCACGCGGGTTTTGTGTTTCTTCTACTACAAATTTTGTGGTAGACCTGTCAAACGTTATGACCCTGTGCGTGTTTGCCTGTGTTTGTGCTTCCTCTAAATTCTTGACCAAAATTTCAGAGTATACATGACCAGCATTGATGATGGCATCTATCTGCCTCCCTCTTTCAATGAAAAATTTGTTGCAACGAGTGTACGTTGCGGTGACCATGGAGCAAATAGGTAGATTTCTGGTTTTTTTCAAAACAGAGTTGATAGACTCTGCTATGTTGGTCGTCATGTGGCCCCAACGTCGCCCATTGTCCCATGCAAGTGCCCATTTTTCTCTAGGTATCTCATCCAACCAATTAGCTGCTTGTATGTCACATTGCCTCAAGATGTTGTAATAATAGTAGAATCGTGGTTCAGTCATCCCATACGCTACAACAATATTAAGAAAAACATAGTTAATATAAATATTTATTAGCAACAATTATATAATGAATAAATTGAAACAAATTTGAAGCAAAGGAATTACCCATATTTACAACATCTTTCCTCAGTGCGGTGTTTTTGAAATGTCTCATAAAATTCTGTGCAATGTGTTTAATGCAGTAGACATGCATTGAATTATTTTCTGTCCATCCGCTTCCATTTCTCATGTATGCACTTCTAATGGATTCATGTCGGTCTGATATGAGGCATAATTTCATCTTGGTGTTGGCTGAAAATTTCATCTTGGTGTTGGCTGAGAATTTCATCTTGGTGTTGGCTGAGAATTTCATCTTCGTCTTCATCCTCATTAAAAGGATCAACGACTTCAATTGGGAGACCAACAATTTCGTTCTCTTGTGTGGGTAGTTCTTCGTTGATGTTGGTGGAAGGGCCACTTAGAAGTTGGGTCAAAGGGATGTAGTCATTATGTGTGGGTATTTCTGGGTGAGTGTTTGGCAAAGCTTGGTAGGGTAAGGGTGAAATTTCTAGTGAGTGTGTGTTGGGGTATGAAGAAGAAGAAGTTTTAAATGAAACCAAAATTTCAATACCACATAGACTTGAGTTTGAATCATGCACATCGAACATGGTCTCCACGTCGTCATCATCTTTCAACTCAACAGCAATGAAGTTGTTGATCTCAACTCCGAGTCTAGTTGGACAGCGAAAGTGGATGGTTGCTACATTTTCATGGGGTTCTTTCTCCAATTTCTTGTGGATCAACTTCTTCAGCCTTTGTAGAGAAATTCCTCTCTTTAAAGGAACAAGTTTTGCAGTCCCAGTATTGAAGGTAACTCCCTCCATGGGACATGGGTTCATGAAACCATCATAGTGGACAATAGTAGACACTACACCCATTTTAGGAGTGTGGAACACAAAGAAGACTAAAGGTAAGAAGAAGAAATAATGCAAATAGCTTCAGAGATTTAGGAGTGTGCAATGTGAGAACTTCAAAGAATGAAAGTAGTCTATTTATAATGAAGTCCATTGGTTTCAATCCAATGCTCCCTCACATGGTTTCTGCTTTTTTGTCTAACCCAATGCAGGGAATCCAAGATTGGAATCCAAGATTTTGTCTAAGATTGGAATCCAATGCTCCCTCACATGGTTTACTGCTTTTTGTCTAACCCGATGCGGGGAATCCAAGATTGGAATCCTAACTTAGGTGGGTAACTCGGCATTGGATTCTTTACTTGTATGCATCGAGAAAGACATGGGAATCCTGACTTCGGTGGGTGACTCGGCATTGTAAATAGTTGCGGGTTTTCTCGCTCAAGCGATGGTTTCTCGCTCGAGCGAAACAGAACCCGAGAGTCCCCCTTGTTTGAAGGTTTCATCGCTCAAGCGGTGACTTTGTCGCTTGAGCGAGTAATGACCGAATCATGAAACGCCAAACGCAGTTCGCTTGAGTCACCTTAGATAGCGGTTGGCAAAATAACCGCTATCTAAAGTAGTAGTTTAGATAGCGGTTGGCCAAATAACCGCTATCTAATGTAGTAGTTTAGATAGCGGTTGGCCAAATAACCGCTATCTAAAGTCATATATGTCAAAGTGATCGACTATAATTGGATAATAGTCGATCATAATTTTCGCTCAAGCGAGAAAACCTTCGCTTGAGCGAGAATTTACCCCAGATTACCCCTTTGTTACAGGTTTTCTCGCTCAAGCGATGGTTTTCTTCGCTTGAGCGAGAGTTCAGTACGCGAAATAATATTATTTTAATACAGTGAACAGTGAACAGTTGCGCGAAATAATATTATTTTATTACGTGAACAGTAAACAGTGCTAGTTGTGTAAATAAAGTTGCAGAGGTGCTAATTTTGGTAAATATTTTTGAAAATAGTATTATTTATGAAAAAAAGTCATATTTTGTACGAAATACTGTGTCTCGAATATTAGAAAAAAAAATCTTGAATATCAATCTTAAATAGAACCATATTTCAATTAATTTGTTATCATTTAACGAAACTATGTCAAGAACATAGGTAATTAGATTTTTTTAATAAAAGTAATGTAATTAAATAATAGGTTTAAATATGTTTTAATATTTTAAATTTGAGTTAAAATTTTTCTTTAAATTTTATAATTGTTATTTTTAGTTTTTATAATTTGAAAGAATAAAAAAAATTATCTTTCTTTTTTATAATTTCAAGTTCGAAGAATCTTGTTGATTTTGGTGAACAGATGAATAATTATTTTATTGATTGATAACAGATGCAGTGAGTGGAAGTAATAGATTTGTCATGAAAATAAGCATTTTTGTTGTAATAAAATAATAATATTGTAAGAAAAATTTCGCTTTGGATTTTGAAAAACACATTTTGTCTGCACTGTGGCATCAGTTTTGTCCCTTATGAAAACAGCTTCTGCATCATCATGCATTTGCATGTGCATATGTGCATTGTGCATATACACACACAAACGCGCGTTTATGATACAGCTGGTGCAGTTGTTGCAGAGTTTTTAATGCATCAGAGGCGCCGCATAAGTCATCTGATAATAATACTTTCTGCATTTTTTCTCTTCTCATTCTTGTCACTTAAACTTGTTTTTCATTAAGAACATGTCTAGTTTAAAACTATTTTCTATCTAAAACATATCAATCCAAAGAACTTGTCTTCAAATTGTCTTATAATGGTGAAGTGATTAACTTAAATTCTTGTCTTTAGTTTTAATGTTAGATGGTTAAGTTTGTCGTTTTGAGTGAAGGTTTTGCGGTGCATTGAGTGTTGAAGTTTAGCGGTGATTGAGGAACCAAACCTAAATCTAAACCTAAACCTAAACCGACACAGGTTTTGTGTTGTGTCCAGTCCTATGATGAATGTGGAACCAGGCTGGATAATCCCATAATGCTGTCGATGTGGGACCTTAATTGCTACTTTCATGGTTCCTTTTCCATACTCAACGGAATATATTTTACTCCCTCCTTTTCTAAACACTTCATATTTTAGTTTCTTTTTTCTTTTTATAATATATATATTTATAGTTTTCAACTTTCACTACTATCATATTTTTTTATGTTATAAAATACTTAAATATTCTATTTGTTAATAATATTAAATACTTTTTAAGCATTATGCAATAATATTAAATATAAAGATTTTAATAACCAAAAAAAATAATAATTTTGAAGACGTTACACGTCTTTATCCATCAATTATGTCCGAAAAGGTAACTTTATTGTGGAATCCTAGACTTCTTTGATTTTGCTACACGCGGTTTGGTTTGGTTTGGTTTCCACCAATTAGGTTTCTCTCCCTTAAAAAAAATTGTAAAATAAAAACAATATCAAATTATTATAAATTTAATTATTATCTTTTTCTTATTTATTTATTGAGCCAGTGGTTTTAAATATACATTAAGAATACATATTTCAATATTTTTAAAATCGGATTAGTTATAGATATAAATTCAAAATTTACTTTAAATTATAATTTAATAAAATAATATTTTTACAATATAATAAATTTATTAATAATAATATTTTTTATAAAATAATAATAATAATAATAATTATTGTTATAATAATAAATAATAAATATTAAAATATAATAAAAAATTATTAAAATAAAAAAATTAAAACATATTATATATTTTATAAAAAATTATATTAAAAAAATTAATTTTATATATTTCTTTTATTAAAATTGATCTAAAAATATAATCATTTATTTTTTATTTTATTTTGATTTAATTAAAATATGATATTTAAAAATAACAAACCTATTTTTAATTTGATTTTATGGACCGCAAAATAGTAAAAAAATTAAGTGATAAATTAACTTTAATATAAAAATAGTCTATTTTTAAAATGCGTGATCATACTATGCAAATTAAAACTTTTCCCACTGAACTAAAGGGAGCATTAAACCTAAATAAAATCAAGGAAGATAAAAACAAAATGTGAAATGATTCTAAAGAAAAGTAAGATCTTTGTTGTAGATCATAGAAATGTAGTTAGAATGAGAAATATAAGTGACTTGTATAATTGAAGTAATGCATGTTAAATAGCAGATTTCATCAAAGAAAATCTAAAAGATTTTAATTTTGCAGATTTCTTTCAAGTTTTAAATGTCCCTTTTCGTTTTAGGGGAGAGTGTGGGGACAAAAAAAGTATGCTTTTAATTATGAGCCCCAAAATTTGTTCTTTAAATCTCACTGTCTGTGATTGAGGATGTAGTGATTACACTAAAACACATCCTCAAAACTCAAACAATGAAAACATAAAGTTTTCATTATAATATATTTTGTTATGATTATCTTTTTTAAATATTATTTTATTTTTTTCTATTGTTTAAATATATCTATTTTTCCTTTCTTATTTTTTAAATATATAAATTATAATAATTTTTTTAAAATTATTATTATTTTTATCCGATGACAAAAGAACAATTAAAGATTTTTTTTTCTTTATAGTTATAAATCTGGTTAAGATACACAAAGGAAAATGTTTTCAGTTAAGAGGATTTGTTTTAGTATAAAAAAATTTAAAATGTTAGATTTGAACTTGGTAAACAGATTGAGAATTACAAAGCCCATTAGTTGGCGTAACAATCTCTCATAGGAATTTGGGCTTCAATTTTTTTGTTCACCTTCTTCTTGCACCACGAACTTTTTTTATATACCTCATATTCATCTAGAAATTCTTGAATATTGAATCTGAAAAATTTCTTTAAATTAGTGAATTCAGCAGAAGTTTTGTAGATTGAGGGATTCAGAATAATTATTTGCTTCAAAAAAAAGTTGTCAAAATCTAAATTTTGAAGCCGACCCTAAAATAAATTAGTTCAATCTCATCTGATTTTCAATGTTCACTATTCACATTCTTGACCAAAATTTAGTTTGGTATAACAGAGTGGCCTAATTTTGGGTATTATCTGAATTACAAAATAACACAAGAAAAAAAAAAAAAAGTTACCTTCGAGTTTGGTTCTCCAAACCTTGATTTTCGTAGTTAGTAGTTGCATTTCATCATTGTTATGTAACAGTCAATCTAAAGAACACAGTGTTAAAGCGACAGAACACTACTTTTTCATACCAGATTATGCTTGTACAACACATTTAGGAACTGAGAAAAAAAATGGAGTGGGAAAGGAATAAGAGTAGCACAAGTGAAGCATTGTCTTGACCAAAAAATAAAAGTTGAAAGGAAAGGTAATAATACAAGGACTGAACATAATTTGTGGGACATGAATCACCTCAAGAATATTATTGCTGGCAATTCTACAGGACTAATTGGTTATCTTTTCTCTATCAGAAAGAAAAATACAGAATGGACAAATATTTCTTTGAAATCTCCTTAATTCCTTGCACAACCATGCAACATTGCCTTGTTGATCATTTGATGCCAGGAATGGTGATGCTTTTGTCAAACATCAGCTTGTTTTTACACATTTAATGGATCATAAAATACCTCATGAACACTTGCTATGATTCTGCAAAACTTCCTTTGACAGTGTAATAGGACAATTTCATGTTCATAAGCATAGTTTCTGTGTGTTACATGATTAAATCAAATGTAGTGAGGATCAAAGAATCAAATTCTGGTGGCATGAAACAATCCTCCGCGTTGCCCTCACAACTAATCTGATCCAATTGGAACACTTTGAAATTGAAAAGAGGCTGATTTCTGAGCTTAAAATATACTGAGATACCAAAACTTTGAGTGCAAAAGAAAAGAAAAAGAAAAGGCAAAACCCAAAAAGGGAACACAACCAGTTACACTCTGTAGAAGAAGGAATAAAGTGGTAGCATAAGCATATACGCCACACTCCATCACCACTTTCTGCTTCAAAAATCATCAACTTTATTACTCTTTTACTTCGTTTATTCAATCAGCATCACCATCACACCCTCCTTTATTTCCCCCTCTGCATAATCATATTGATTTATATGGTAACTAAACTTTTATAATTAATAAAAATATTAACTATTAAATTAAAAGAAAGATCATAACTATTGGTTTACAATAATGGGAATCAAATTCATAGAAATAAAAAGATAAAATTTTGTAAAATTAAGAAAGTTCATATGAAAATACAATTGAGCCAAGGTAGTACATAGATAATGCATATAAATTAAGTTAAAAAAATAAAATGTTCCCATTTACCAATGCTCCCATCCACCTTCAAAAATCGTAAAACCATTGATTTTTTCAAAAACAATAATCCAAAAACAATGTAGTCTTAGGAAGACCGATAATTACATAAAATTAAAAAAAAAATATTCAACTGTACTCAAAACTCGGCCGAGTTAGCACTCGACTCGTTCAACCCGCCGCCGATCCGGATCCGAGTTCGGCAACCCAACCCCGAGTCAAGCAACTCCTCCCAATCCACATCCTCCTCCTCCACCTCTTTGGCCCTCATAATCTCCAAAATCTTCCTCACCTTATTCCTAGACCTCTCACTCCCCACCTTCTCCACCTTTTGCAACACCTCCACCACCCCCGCGGCCTTTGCCACCGCCTTAAACCTCAAACCGCCGTGACTCAAGGCGTACATTGCCGCCACACAACTCTCCCGAGTCGACCCGGTGGGTGATTCGGGCCCACTAAGCAACCCGACCAAACACTCCACCACACCGGCATCCAACATCGCGGCCCGCCCGTCCGACCCGGAACCCAAGTTCCCCAAAATCATTAAAACCCGATTCGTCATGTGACCCGACTTAACCATACTCAAAAGAACCGGAACCGAACCGAGTTTAACCATCTTGGACCGGTTACTCTGAACCAAAGACAAATGGTAAAGCGCCAAGGCCGAGTCATGCCGAGTCCGCTCGCTCTCGACTCGGAGCATATGAAGCAACGGACCCAAACCACCCAAAACCCCAATGGCGGTTTTGTTATCGTCTTCGAGAGATAAACTGAACAACGCGCCCGCACCGTGTTCCTGCGCCTCAGGGGATCCAAATTTCAGAACCTCGACCAATGGTGGTACCATCCCCGACCGCACGATCTTCACTTTGTTACTCTTCTCCAGAGAAAGGTTCACCACCGAAGCCAAAGCGTTCACTTGAATGTTCACGTGTTTCGACAAAACGAGGGAGCGTAACGCAGAGAGCAACCGCGGGGTGCAGAGTTGGACCCGGGTTTCTTCTCTCACCCGGGTGAGTTTTCTCAAAGAGAGAAGCGCTTCCTCGATTATGTTCTGTTGTGGGTTTTTGAGCTTTGCCATGATTTCTTCTTCTTCTGGGGTTGCAGCAGGTTCCATTTCGGACGAGGAAGGGGAAGAGTAATAGTAGCAGCAACTGGGGCGCGTGGCGAGCTGAAACGGCGGCGTTGAGGCTGAGGTTGTGGCTATGGATTCCTCGGAGCTCGTGTACAGGTGTGTTGGTCTTATGGGCACCTCGGTTTCTGCGTGACGACGGAGGTTGCTCGATGGTGGGTTGTCGTCGAGGGAATCCAGGATCGGATCTCTGACGGAGTGTTTTACTTCTGGGGAGATCGAGGTTTGTACCAGGTTTGTGCTGGGGGTGTTCGGGGAGATTGAAGTTTGTTGTACGAGGTTTCTGTTAGGGGGGATTGAGGATTGTACGAGGTTGTTGTGTGAGAGAGGAGGTGGTGTGTGGGTGGTGTGGCACCATTTGAGGATGGCGGATTTGAGGGCGAGGTTAGGGATGAGGGTGGAGAAATCGGGGGTGGTGCCGTCCGGGAGCTGGGGGGTAAAGTTGAGATTTTTACAGGCTTCAACGGAGGAGCGTTCGAAGGAATGGCCGGAGGAGACGATGACGGGGTCGAACATGAGGGAACGGGAAACGGGGCAGAGGAACTCATCTGGGGGGGTTTGGATTTTGGTTTTGGTTTTGGGGTGAAAGAAAATTTTCTTCCATTTCAGCTTTGGAGTTGTAGTAGTGGTTATTGGTTCTGAATCTTTTGGTGTTTTCTTGGGTGATGATGGCCATTTTTTGTGGATAGTGAGCTTCAGGGTTTGTTGAATCTCCATGGGATGGTTGAGGTTGTGCCCTCTCACACTGTTGGATGTGAGAGAGTTAATTGGGGGGTGTCATGGAGTTCCAATTACAAGAAGGTTTGGTTTTGTTTGGTTTGAGGTAAGTGTTTTTTGGCCTTTTAGGTGCTGGAAGAGTAGAGAAGGAGTGTGAGTGAAATGATGATTTGGTGTTGGAATGGAAGGGAGAGAGAGAGGTTGGATTCCTTAGCTTTTGGAAAATCTGCCCAATTGGAAAGGGGTTAAAGGCAAAGTTGAGGATTTGAGGTGAGAGAGTGAGTGATGAAGATCTGAAGAAACATCTAAAACATTAATCCATAGAGCACTTCATCAGAATGTTTTTTTTTTCTTTCTAATAACATAGTTAACTATAATGTTAAGGTTTCTATTTTTATATAACAAGAAAACACCCGTGTACAATCGTGAGATAAATATTCATATTAGATTAGATAAGTGTAAAATTTTTTAGTGCTTATACCTTCCTATGTGCATGTACAGAGTATGTATGTACGTATAAGGGGAATAGAACAGAACAGAAATTAAAGTGGCTTCGAAACTGGTCCAGCATTTGATGTCAAAGTTTAAGGAGTGGAACAGATGCGTCTAAGCCAATACAACAAAACTCCTTTCAAGTTTCAATTTGATCACTTACTATCAGTTATTGGGTTAAAACAACGTTGCCCTTTTACACAGATTTCAACAGTCAAAGACTCCATCTTTATGATGCCAATACATAACCAGAATTTTCATAACTTAATTACTCCTATGCTTTGAGTTACAAATGATAATGAAGTTACATATAACAATCTCCTTTACTAAATTCTATTTCTGGGTTCATGATTAATTACCTTGCATGTTTCCATTCTTGTCTCAATTCTTGATCAATTAGAGTGTGATGCATAATTTCTTCTGATTTGTTTCCTTTGTTGAAAGGCAAAAGAAAAGAACTTTGAATAATAAATTATGGCCAAAACCAAAATAGGCATTACACTAGTTATGGAGGAAGCTATGGGTGAGGAAAGTGACCCATTCCTTTGAGGTAATCAACACCAAAAGGTAAAATAAAAGGATGTTCTTTTGTCTTGGCCATACCCCACATGTAACCTTTGCAACATGTAACTAATTTTTTATGCATAATTTTGTGGACAAAAAACGTCAAATGGTATCTTGGCATGCAATGGTTTGTTTGCATGGAGAAGGTTGTTTTAATGTTTTTCCAACCAAAGTCACGATTTGTTATTAATTATTGCAATCTTAATAGCTAAGTCTACGTCGCACCGAGAACACGGGTGGACAAACATATTTGTATGTATCTCACTTTATTTGCTAAAAGTGATTGATTCCTTTTGCATTTTCCTCCTCCAACCACATTTTTCCATCTTCAATTGCTCAATCTAATTAGGATCATGTTTTACAGATCTTATATAAACACATGTTAGATACCACATACAAAATGTCTTTCGATTTAACTTTTTATTGGGTTTGAATATGATGAAAGTGAAAACCCAGGAAAAATAATAGATTCTATTGAAAAGTTTTCAAGTACATGTGATTGAATTGAAAGAAAAAAAAAATAATAATAATTTTATTTAAGTAATGAGTAGAAAGATCAATATTTTTAAAAATCTAAGTATATGAATTTAAAGATTATTTAACTGAATTTAATAAAATAATATTTTTATAACATAATAAATATGTAAAATTACATATAATATAAAAAACAAAATAAGTGAAGATGAATTTTTTGAATTTATCTTTTAGTTAGATTTACATGGTTATGTTCCACAACTTGCAAAAACAAAGTCTCCACCATAACTTTTTTTTTTCTTCCATTTCTTTTAGCATAAATTACTTGAAAAATACGACTTTCATTTTTACTATTTCATCTTCTCTCGTTTCTTATAAATACTACATCTCCCAAACACAAACAAAATTTTAGTTGTGCGAGTACCCAAAACCCTAACAGAAAACAATAACATGAATTATACATGTTTTTTCACCTTTTTCTTTTCATTGCTTTATACGGTAGAATTATGGATCAAGTTTTGTATTCTTCCTTAAGTAATTCATTATAGTGTTTTCCCAATTTTGAAGCTTCTGTCTTACTTAACATTTACAACCTAGAAGACATTATCACAATATTTTAATTATTGGGTGGATCCACACACCACGTGATAAACCTAATAATCCATGTTTCAATTAAAAAAATTCTTATATATAAACTAATGTGTCCATCTTTCACTAGTACTAATTTTGTAGTCGTGTCAACTTTTTAACATACTAGGTGGTGGTGGGTCTCTCACATTAATATTTGTGTGAAGTTTTTTTGGTAAGGAATAACATGTTGAACTTGAAAAAGAGAAAAATTCAAAATTTTATTTTTAATTTCAAATGGTTTAAGATAAAATAAATACTCAGCGACAATGTGAGATTTTTCAAAGCTTAATTTCACTCAACATTTTCTTACTTCAAAACTATTTTTAAATTAAAATGTAAATAAGAAATTAAAAAACATAATAAAATTTGTTTAATAATATATAAGCATCACATGCATGATGTAGTTCTCTAAAGAAAACAACATATGCAATGCAAGTTGTCAAATGATGAGTTTGAAAACAAAGTTGCTCTTTTATGAGAATGAGAAATGATTTTTTGAAGTTTACTATAATGAGAATGGTGACAATAGTTGATTGAATGATGAAACTCACTAAATATAACAATAAATCTTTTTTTTCAATTATAATATGATATCTCTAAGCATATTGATTATAATATGAACCACAAAATAAAATTTAATTAGCTTGTTTGAAAAGAATAATAATTAAGTTGAAACAAAGCAATATAGACAATACAAATTAAGTAAAGATAAATGCAAAATTACAAAATAAAGGAAACAGAAGAAAGTTTCATCAAAATCCCAATTAATTTAGAGATTATAGATTAAAATTTTTCACGTAGATTCCCCTGACTCCAACAAAATTAAAATAATAATAATTTTTTTTTCATTATTTTATTATAGATTATTTAATATTTATTATTTCTTTTATATCAGTTTTTATCTTCTTTTTTTCCTAATTGTATTATAATATTTTTTAAAATTATCAATAACTAAAATCAAATTTATATAATAATTGGATTATTCTCTATGAATCTAAAATATAATTTCTACATCATGCATTATAAAATCAAAATATTTCTAATAATATTTTTTTTATAATGTTATAGAAATTAGCCATTATGTTTTCCACTAATATTTATGATGACACAAGATTAAATATTAAAATAATATTAATCTATAATCTATGTTATTAGTAATAGAGATTGAAGTATGTAATATCATTTTTTAATTTTATCTTGATATTATATAATTATTTTTTAATTTTTAACTATTTTTATTTTTAATTATGTTTTTATAGTTAATATTTTAGTAACCGTTTTTATAAATTGTAGATTTTAGTTACTTTTTTAACTTTTTTAAAACTATAATTTTATTTTAATATTTTAGTAACTATTTTATAATCGTTTAAAACAAATTAGATATTTCCATAAAAAAATAAAGCTTAGATATTTCCATAATAAGAAAATAAAGCTCACAATCATCAGATATAAATTAAATTTGTATAAATTTAAATCATAGGATGAAAATAAAAATAAAAATAAAAATAAAAACAAAATAAAACCATATTAGATAACGACTAAGAAAATGGTGCCGCGTATATAGCTGCCAAATCTGAACTCTGGAATGTTCTGTTGTGTCGCAGGGGCTGACTTAAGCCCCAAGCCATCGCCAAACCTATAAATTCTCCTCCCTTTTTCTTCTTCTCCAATTCATTCTCTTCAATTCAACCTTCAAGTATTTTTCATCAGGTTTTCGTTCCTTCACAAAACTCAAAACCCTAATCCATGGCGTCAGGCGGAACCGTAGCTTTTCCAGATTTGGGTAAACACTGCCAGCACCGCGATTGCCACCAGCTCGATTTTCTTCCTTTCACCTGCGACGGTTGCCGCCAGGTAATTCATCTTTCTCTTCTCATCGCATCCAAGTTAATTACAACGCTTTATTTAACAATTTTAATTTCATGATTCAAATTTGATTTGTCCATGTGTTTTTCAGTAGTGATAACTTTTATGTTCTAAATATGGTTTTTCAGTTCTCAACGCATTTTTGAACATGCTAATTACTTATGCACCTAACGTTTTTTTTTCTTCTTTTCTCAAAATTGTAAATCTTTTATTCATAGAATAATGTTTATAATAAAAATAAAGGCATAATATTCTGCGTGTATGATTGTTTATATGAAGATTCTTTTGGATATAATTGAAGAACCTTTACGTTTGTAAACTCAAATGAATCTCTGAGATATGATATGCATATACAGCGACCAGAATATGTTATTGGGGATCAATATATGGAGATTATTGCATATAGTAGATTACTGTATTATTTTATATGATTTTGCTGCCACATTCCATTCATTTTGGAATAGATATTCTAGAATGTATCTTTTACCTATTTAGAAAATTTCAAAATGAATGGGAGGTGGTACTCTAGAAATTTATTGGTGCAGGAATAAACCACTCACGGGGTGTTTTCATTAATCCGGTAATGTACTCCCCAATTGGGTTACATTCTTGTAGTTTGAGTATGTGTAAAAGGAAAAGTGTAATTTGATGTGATAGTTTAGTCGACACTCATTTATGTAGTCTGTTAAAAATACAAACAATTGGCAAAACAATATATACATACTTCTTCACGTCTATCTCTTTCTATTATAATGACATGTAACAAAATATGTTCAGAAGATTGTTCAAAAGAATACAAATTGTTTCACACAAAATTTCTCTTAATCTGAAATATTTGTAAATCGTCACATGACCAACAACACTAACATGGCTGCAATTTTACAGGTGTTTTGTTTGGAGCACAGATCCTACAAGTCCCACGCCTGCACGAAATCCGACCACAACAGCAGAAAAGTGGTTGTCTGCCAAACATGTTCCATGTCCATTGAGACCACCGGTCTCGTGGGACAGGGCGAGGAGGCAATTTTGGAGAAGCACCTCAAGTCTGGTGACTGTGATCCCACCAAGAAGAAGAAACCCGTTTGCCCTGTCAAGTGCTGCAAGGAGGTTTTGACTTTCTCCAACAACAGCACCTGTAAAACTTGTCACATGAAGGTGTGCCTCAAGCACCGTTTCCCTGCTGATCATGCTTGTAGCAGAGGAGTTTCAGCTTCTTCCTCAGCTTCAGTTGCTAATGGTGGATGGAACAATCGATTTTTGGGTACTCTGGCTTCAAGGACTGGACAGGAATGTGCCAAAACTGGTGCCACTCGTTCTACCTCTCCTCCTAGCTCTCCTTCTGTCAAGGCCTATTGAATGCTAATTTCTTTGTGGGAATTTGAATGTTCAAATTTACAGCATAAACTACCATATGGGGATTTGTATTTTTTATTTTATTTAAATCTCATGTGGTAGCACTCGTCATTGTTCCCATTTAAACTAAAGCTATAAATACCTTTGGAATGTACATCCTTGCTTATGAAAACAAATACTAAAAGATTTCCTTACCATACATACTATTGATGTTGGTTCTCAATCTTTAATAGCTTTATCTCACTCATATTTCTCACTTCTATATCTGATTTTCGACAAATACAAATACATTACCTAGATATCATTACATCTTTCTTTTTTACTTGTCTTTCAAATGTGTGATAGTCTGCAAGGCAAGAAGACGAATTTAAAAGGATAAAAAAAATAGTACATTCTAATAAAACTATGTATGTGCTAAATGAATGAATTGCATTATGAGCAAATTGCATTGGTTAAGGAATCACCTGAGCAAAATCTTTATCAGAAGTGGCATTCCTTCCTATTCAACAAAATCACGAGTTGAAAATCAGTATCCAAGGGGAGCACATTTGGGGCTTATGTTTTTCTCATCCATGTATGTTTATTGACCAAAACAACACAACAAGCAAGGGCTTTTCTGGCATAAAAAAAGTCCAGTGCAGATATTTTTAGTTAAACTCAAAACAGTTAAAGTTATAGTGCATCACTCTGGTGATGTGATGATATCAGTATCATTCTCCCCCTCCAATTAACACATGCCATCTTCCCAGTCAGTTTGACCACTCCAACAGCCTCTTTGTCTTTACTCTGCTGTGCAGATCTTTCCTAGAATGCCCTCCTTATTTCTCATCTTCTCTACATGCATCCCAATCAGCTCACAGACCATGTTGTTTCTTCTCCCTATTTTAGTACTGAGCTAAAGGGGTCTTTGACTAGAAAAAAAAGTAAATGCAGCTTGTAAACCTAAAAATATAAAGTTAGGAGAACCAAAATTAAATTTAACCAAATATTTAAAAACATTAAATGAAATATGTTTTTTATTCACTGGAAAAATATAACATATAATAGTGTAAGGTATAAAAGAAAAATATTTAAAATCTATAAAGAAATTAAACTCCTTTATGTTTTAAATGAAAAAGCGTTTTGACAATTTAAAACGATTTTAAGATTTCATCTAACAGAGATTTCAAAAAAAAAAAAAAAAGAGAATTTGTGAATTAAACAAACTTTTAAAAAACGTTTTAAGTACGGTAATTTAAATCATAAGAAACAAATATTTACTCCTATCTATGAATTAAACTATACAAAATGAATAAATAAGAAGTTTCTTTTTTTACTCTCTAAATTTTCTCATTACTTTTTCTTTTCCTAGTTGGATAGATTTCTCGCACAACTCTTAAATAAACAGTAGAAAAATTATTTTACCATCTCCAACTCTTAGTCTCTTATTTTTATCTGTATATTTGATTTTATTAAACATTTATTGTTTTTTAATCTATCTTTTTGTAAAAATGAATTTCAATGCTTTTCAAAATCATCAAAATTTTAAATATCCTTATATTACAATTCAAATTATTCTCTATAAATAAAAAATATATTCTTTTAGTTATTCACTATAAGTCCAAAACATTTAACTAAAATACTATTAATAATAAAAATAAAAAATGTAATAATTTACGCATTAAACTAAAATCATGCAGACATTATATATATATATATATATATATATATATATATATATATATATATATATATATAACAGTGAAACCACAGTGAAAAAAAAATTACAAGAAAATTACCATACAGCGTCGTCACCGTGTTGGAAAACTCTCAATTCGCGATTGCTTCTAGAATTTTTCTTTTTTCGTCAGTTCATTCTGTTCGATTCAATATTCATTCAAATCCATTCATCAGGTTTTCGATCTATATATACATGGCACAGGTGGAACCGAAACTTTTCCAGATTTGGGGGAACACTGCGAGCACCGCGATTGCAACCAGCTCGATTTTCTTCCTTACACCTGCGACGGTTGCCAACGGGTAATTCAGCTTTCTCTTCTCATCCAAAGTTAATTACAACACCTTTTTAATTATTTTGCAATTGAAACAATATATATCCGAAATCGAAATATTTGTGCCCTAAAGGTTTAGTGTTTTGCGTTTTTAATTTAAATATCATAAGCGATTTGATTCGTAATAGGCTAATCAAAACTGAACCAATCCAAAAATAATAGGATAAATATATAAAAATATGTGAATTGTTATTAATTTTTTAAAAGTTATTCAATTTTATGGATAAAAAATATATACTAAACTAAAAATATAAGAAGAAAAATTGTAATATAAATTAATTAATTTAAGAAATTAAGAAAAGTGATATTTCATTGTTATTATATGATGTTTAAAAGTTTCTTTTATAGATGCCAGAAAAGTATTGTTTATATATATATATATATATATATATATATGCAAAAGAGATATAAGATTGTCTATTTTATTTTTATTTTCGTTTTTACAGCAAAATACATATTAAAATTAATTAAAGAATAGGTAAAAGTAAGAACATAATTGAAAAAATAAATAGGGACATCTTAAACTTTGAAAATAATGTTTAGTTTAATAAAAAAATCCGACCGTAATGAATTTTGTAACAGTTACATAAAAAATTATATTTAGGACAACTTTGAATTAGTTGATGGAGTAAAAATCTTATAACCAATAAAATACAACATACTTCGTAACACTTCATCAAACATGTTAGACATAAATTTGAATCCTAGTTATGTATAGAAAAAAAACCAAATTAGTCTAGTGGGCATAGACCCCTATTTTATGCATGTAAACAGTAATATTCACGTGGCCAGCACTAACATGGCAGCAATGGCAGGTGTTTTGTTCAGAGCACCGATCCTGTAAGTCCCACGCGTGCCCAAAATCCGACCTAAGCAGAAAAGTGATTGTTTGCCAAACATGTTCCATGTCCATTGAGACCACAGGCTACGTGGGACAAGACGAGGAGGCAATCTTGGAGAAACACCACAAGTCTGGTAACTGTGACCCCACCAAGAAGAAGAAACCCGTTTGCCCTGTCAAGGGCTGCAAAGAGATTTTATCAATCTCCAACACCAGCACATGTAAAACTTGCAACCTGAACGTGTGCCTCAAACATCGTTTCCCCTCTGATCATGCTTGTAACAGAGGAGTTTCAGCTTCTTCCTTACCTTCTGCTGCTAATGGTGGGTGGCAGAATTTTCTAAGTTGCTTTTGTTTCAAGAACAGAACAACAAAGAAGGGCCAAAACTAGTTCAACTCCTTCTGTTAGGCCTGTTGACTGCAAATTGCTTCATGTTATGATTTTTGAATGGTTTGATGAAAATGTAATATTTTTTATAGAGTAATCTGAATGTTCAAAATTACATCACAACTACGACATTGGGATTCTTTTATTTAGATCTCTTGTTGTAGCTCACATCAATGCTCCAATTTTAACTGATGTCATAAGTAGCACCTCTGCATTGTACATCCTTATTTATGAACAGAAATCCTAAAAGGTTTCCTTGCGATGCATATACTATTGGTGGTTCTCGACCTTTTTTAATGGTTTTATCTCATTTATATTTCTCACTTTATACATTATTAGTCAATGAAATTTCTAATTATGTCCTTACACCGGACTTATTGGTTGTGTAGATTTTGCAGATGGAAAAAACGTAGCTGCTTTAGCATCCGCGGCCAAAAAAAAGATAAAAGAAATTATGAGGTGATTGAAATTTGTAATACAGAGTAAGATAGGAATGCAGATAGAAAAATTACGTATGATTTTCGGTAAACATAATACCTACATATCATTACACCGTTCTTTCGACTTGTCTTTCAAACCATACAGCCTGTAACAACTAACAAATTACTCAGTACACAATATTCTGGGTGTTACATACTAGCTGTTGCTTCTTTAATTTCGTCCAAGGTGATAGTCTGCAAGGCAAGCCAAGAAGACGAATTGAAGAGGAGAAAATAATATGTTCTAATCAAATATGTATGTGCTGCTAAATGAAGGAGATAGCACGTTCAGGTAAAAAGGTAAAAATTATATTTAAACAAATTGCATTAAAGAATCACCTGTTCGTCTCCGGCAAAATCGTTATCAGGAGTGAGAAATAGCATGCAGTGGCATTCCTTCCTATCAAACAAAATCACGAATCGAAAATCAATATCGAAGAGGCACAATCAGGGGCTTAAGTTTTTTCTCATCCATGTTTCTTGAACAAAAACAAGACAATGTACAAGAGCTTTCATAGCATAAAAATAGGCCAGTGAAGATGTTATTTAGTATATAACTTAATCAACGTTAGACTTTATCTAACAAAAATATAAGCCAAGACAGTCATGTTTCAAACCTGATAACAATGTCCTCACAACAGTTTAGCCAACTTGCTAGCAAGCTACCTTTTGAACAATTAGGTATTTTACAAGACACATAAAGATCACGTCTAAAATGTTCTGTGATATGGTTCTTTATGCGTAAAGAAAGAAAAATTAAAGAAGGTTAAAAGAAAATTCTACACTGCTAAAAAGTCAACAAGGGTCTAGTTCGCATTATCTGTTCTTCACTAAAGGGTATAGACAAGTTCCAAGCTTCTGGTATTATAATCAATGCATAACTTCTGCCTGATATGTGTGCTATTGTGCTATGGAGATTTCAAAACATTACTAAATACAATACAAAGTTGAAATGAAGCTAATGGAAATCAAACACATGCCTGAATTGTCATAAAACCAAATCAATACAATAGACGGAGCTTCATACTTGATAAACTTAGATCAAAGAAGGGATATTCTTTTCCAAGCAGTAGTACAGATATACATACCTCTCTCTCATGGGAACACAAGGGCAATTCCAAAATCCTTGTGCCGCCTCAGCAGCTTTATCGTCATAATGCCTAAAATACAATGATTTTGGGCTTAGACTTGGAAAGTTAGAAGACATCAATACTGATCAAACTATGCAGCCACACTGCCAGACTATACTATGAAGACAAATTCTGCTTGACAAGCTAAAAGAACAAGTATCTACCGGCAAGGGCACAGTGGTGCACCCAATGAATCTTTATGGTCAGCCAACCCCTGTTCCAAAATGGAAATAATATAAGGAACAACGGTCAATTGAGCAAGAACATGACTACCTACGATATTAGTTGGTCACATCACATGTATGTTTACTCTTGAATATCACTCTGCAGATTGAAGTACATTTTATTACTGGAATATGATATAGTCCATTAAACCACAGTTAGTGAAACTCTTTCTCAAATTGTGTAACTTCATTCCAACATGTCAACTTGGTAGTACACTTTTTGCCTTCATTTTCCAAGTTTGTTTTTCAGAAAGCCTTAATATGACCATCGAATCACAATCTGTGAAACACATTTTCAGACTCACTATATGTAACTTCATTCCAACATGTCAATCTCAGTCTTTCAAATAATTTTTCCTTTATTTTCCTTTGCAGAAAGCTTTAATTTGTTCACTTTCAGAATGTACCTCAATTTTCACAATTACTTTTCAACTCTGCGGATTCTATGATAGAAATGTGATCTTATGCATCAACAGCAATGAATGAGGCTAAATAAATTTATTTGGCTGTCTGTTCTCAACATTCCGCTTTTTAAACCATGAAACCTACTGAATTTCAGTTCCAAGTTCATTTTTTTTAGTTATTTTCCCATCCAAGGTTCTAGCCACCACATGCAAAAGTTGCCTTTTCATATAAAAAAGATGAACAATGATTCAATCAGCTGCATCAAAACCAGAAAAACATTTATGACAAGGGGCATGAATTTGATCATGTTCAAAATGAACTATTGTGAAATAATGCTTCTTTTCCTTTTTGCCTTACACACTCAATATTTGGAGATAGTGGACCAGACCAGAATAAAAGGAGAAAAGTGTCTATTTTCTATTCAGAGGATTCAAATCAAAGACCTTACTTAACAGGAGCCAAGCTCCTTGCCAATTGGACCAACAAGGACTGGCTGAGAAATTGCTGTGTGGTTTAATAATTTAATACAAAATATAAAGTTTACCAATTAAATGCCAAAAGCTTTTTTATACAAAAAGAAACTAGTGTTTGGGGAAGTCTTCCCAAAAGTCCTTTGGATATTAACAATATCAACTTCCCGAAAGTGTAACTCCGAAATTCAGAGATTGCCCTGTGTATTAAAGTAGAACAGAAAGAAAAAACACAAGCACAGAGGTCGCAAGGGTTCCAAATGCTGACAGAACTCCTAGCCTCCAAATTAACTCAACAATGGCCTAATTCCCTTGTTCCCCCACCAACCAACTTCCTCACATTTATCCCGGATTTTGGTGATCATACCAGAATTATCCCCCCCACCAATCAACAGATGCCATCTTCTGTGTAGGTAACCACTTCAACAGCATCTTCTTTGTCTTTTCTCTGCTGTTGCAGATCTTTTCTACAGTCTCCTCCATATGTCCCATATACTCTTTGACCATTCCTCTCTATTAAAGACAGTCCATGTTGTTTCTTCTTCCTATTATAGTACTGGGCTACGGTACGACTAAGAAAAGATAAAATGACCTTGTAAACCTAAAAATACAGTCAATTTGAATTTACTTTGACATGCACATATGCTAACAATAACAAACCACCTATGATTTTCACTTCTTACAAAATTGAATAACTTCCTCGCGTTACAAGACTTACTGTCCCAAGAGGATCAAACTACAAGATGTTGTTTGGCAATGCCCTCTAAAAGGGAAACTATGTATTAAAATTCGTATTAACAAATTAACAATATGCCAAAAATATAAGCTATACCTTGATGACAACTGAAGTGACTCCCTTGTCAACACAGAAGTATGTTCCTGACTTACGAGCGTATTGTTCTGAGAACTTCCTCATAATTTCAACGGATTTATCAGAAGGTTCCACTGAAAGAACAAGACAATTATTTCTACTGAAACGCAATGTTAACAAATCATCAAACTGAAAGCACAACAACTGCAAAATTAGGCAGCAAAATTCACTAAAAATGAAAGAAAACGAATAAAAAGAGTACCATAATTTATCAATTTAATAAATGTATAAAAAAAAAACATAATTTGTTTTAATAAACACGTCCACAGTCTACACATGCAATGCATCCGCAGCTGACAACCATTTATTCTGCGGGTTCCAAGTTCTGTCAAAATCCAAAAAGCTTTTCAAATTTGAAAAATATGAACCTCAAACCCAAATCCCAAAACCCAAAACCCAATTCAAGTGTTACAAAATCCACTATAATAACATAAAAAGAAAAGAAAAGAAAAGAAACAAAACTTCGAATTTCAGGATTTAGTGAGTGAGCCTTTCAACAAACACCTTCAGGACGGCGCAGCGATGAAACTACTAACACACAAGAGAAGAATTGGGGCACAAAAACACCGAAGTGGGGCGTTGGAAATCGATTCGTATTCAATTGGGTAATAAAAAAGAGAGAGAGGGGGAATGCTCTGCGTTGAAATGAACTCTACCTCGGGCTCGAACGACGAGGGGATTGCGGTGGCGGCGGAAAGGGGTTGGGACGGAGGGAACGGCGAGAGAAAAGGCGGAAGCTTGGGTGGTCATTGGCGGAGATTTAGTTGAGCAAGAAAAGGGAAAGATTTATGTGTGGCTCCCAGATTGTGTGAGAAAGAAACACCAAAACAAACAATACCTGTGTTATGCGTTTTACACGTTTTTATCTTCATTATTTAAGGTAAAATATATTGATTATTTAAATTTTATGAGATTGTTTCAATTTTAAATGATTTATTCCATGTTTGGAAACTCCTTAAAGACAAAGGATTTAGCATTGTGGTTTAAGAGTGATCTGTATTAAAAGTTTTTTTTTTTTATGATAGATCAAATAAACTTGTTGTATTATGATGAGCGACATTATAAATAAAAAGAAAAAATTATTGAAAAATACAAAATACAAAATACAAATCTCAATTCAAATTAGTATCCTATTAAGTGATCTTAATTTTAAATCATTATATAAATATTTAAAACGTTAATTTGTTAATTGTGATCCTCTTTCAATTCCTAATTTGAAGGAATATAAATTTGGGGTTATCATGATTTATATATATATATATATATTATGGAATAATAAGAAAAGTTAGAGGAGTGAGTAGAAGCCACTCGTTGCAAAAATATCTAAATGGTTGCTGATGTCGAAGGTTTTGAAGTTTCAATTCCAACCATTCTTCATTCTTTGGTTCTCTCCATTTTCTTATCCACATTCCACCTTCACCGTTTGGATCACCCCAAACTTAGATGCTACTTTGTGATTACTCTTTCTTAAATTTTAAGAGGATTATAGTTTTCTCTTTTTCTTTTAATTCACTAAGATTTTTTTATTTATATGAAAAATTTGGATAACTTATATATTCAAACTTTATTATTGTGATTCAAAAGAAAAGAAAAATAATTATACAATATTTAGTTTATTTTTATTCAAGAGGGAAGTATAATTAATTTGTTAAGGTTGTAATTAGGTTATTTCTTCCTTTCCTTCTATAGTTTTTTCTTTCATTTATGATTAAAATAAATTACATTTTATCCTTTATTAAAATATGTGTACATTTTTTTAACTCATCTTTAGATTAATTATTCTGGAAATACATTATAGACTAAATTTTATAATGTATTTTTGGAATAATTAATCTTAAGATATATTTTGAGTTAGCAATTTTGGAATGGATGATTGGAATAATAAATTGGAAATGCATTTTAAAATACTTAATCCAAAAATACATTCTAAACACCTATTTCTGAATACATTTTTGAATTGACTCTTCCAGAAATACATATATATTGAGTGTTTCAGAACTCACTTTCAAGTTTGAAAATTTGTTTCAGATTGAATAGTTTAGATCCCTATATTCACTTTTAGTTCAATTTCTTAGTAAAAAACATTAACAATTTCTTATCTTATGGGCTAAAAATAATATTCAATAGAGGTGAAATTATAACAAAACAAAATTGTAAAAACTATAGAGGTGTAGAACAGCGGAAAAAAATAATCTTTTAAGACAAAAAAAAGTAAAAGGATATTTCGATCATTTTACATGAATTATGATGGTGTATGAAGATATTATGGAGGTACAAGAAGAAATAACCTTATGTTTAAACTAATTGGACCAATTTTAAAGAGTGAATAGTTTGGTAGAATATTAATCTAGTCATTTCTTATCTACCATTCTTAGTAGGTCCACTAAATAGGTTGGAAGAATGAATAGTTTGGTAGAATGTTATTCTAGTATTTATCTTATCTTTTCTCACTTCTTTTTATAGTATTTAAAAAGAAAAAAACACTCTACCCAAATTTGTAAAAATACATAAAGATAGATTTATAAAATTTGTAAGCATACAAATTACCTTTGCATAGAATAATATATACATATATATTGTTAAAAAAATCAACAAAATAAAAGTAATATCCTTTATCCAAATTTATAATAAATCATTTGTACATATCATATATTCATTCTGTTTATAGTCATATATAACACACTCATTCACGTCTATTACCTGTTAACATCAATGCTGGACAAATTTTAAAAGATTAAATATTGAATTCTAAACTAAAAAAAATATATACATATGTCATGGTACAATTTTCTTAATTATATAAAAGTACTTAATATATTTCACATCATAATAAGATAAATTTTAAGAACTTTTCTATTATTGGGACCACACACTTTAGATCAAATAAAAGGAACTTTCTTCCATTCTCACTACTACATGATCTTTTCATTTATGTAATTTCAATTATAAATAGAATTAAGATATTTCATTGAATCCAACAACTCAATGATTGTACTAATCACACTCATAAGAATATTTTATTGGTATATATAATATAACACCAAATTTTCACAACATTATTCTTAAATTACATACATTGTGCATTGATATATACACTACACACTATAGGGTCTATTCCATGTTGTTGAGAATTTAAATGTGAGTTTGAAGGTATTGGGTAGAAATAGGAAGGTTAAATATTTATAAGTGAGAAAGACTCATATTCTAATACCTTAAGATTTTAAATTAAAAATCATAAGGAAATTCACACCATAACATTTAAACCATTTTAAAATAATTTATATCATAACATATTGTTGCTTGAGCAAACCATCTTCACTAATGCATGTTTATACAAAGGTATAAGGAAATTCACACCATAACATTTAAATCATTTATATAATGACATATATTGCAGCTTGAGCAAACCATCTTCGTTTGAGTTTGAGCTAGATCCCTTTTAGATCAATCATTTCTTTCTAAATTTTTTTTGCTTAAGTAAAAGTATTATCGCTTAGGCGAAATATTTTCTCACTTGAGCAAGTAATATCCTTTTGAGCACATATATAATAGAATTAAATCTCATTTCACTAAAAAAAAAATTATTTGGAGGAAGATTTTTTGCTTGATTAAAAAATAAACTTGAGACCACATTCCATATTCTAGAATTCTCATTATTCAAGTGATAAGATTTCATTGGAGCAAAAATATGCATATATGAGATTGTGCAGAAAGTCTAAGCAAGTACTTGGGTACACAAACTCATTCTAAAGCAGTTCTACTATTATGTTCATCCAAAACAAGATTACTAACGAAATTCACATATAAATTCATTCATGCAACCATAAAATCCACCAAAAGTATGTTCAAAACAAAAGCAATTAAGTTATAACATATAATTCAACTTCGATTCAATCATTGTAAAACAACCCTAGTAACTAAGTCATTTTATCACATCTAGATCCTCTAGCTTAAAGTGTTAAGATTCTAATATAAAACTAATTGACAATATGTCAAGTAGCCTAATAAATATTTAAATCATATTACATAACATGAGAAAGATGATGAGACTTCTTATATGCCCCATTCAATAGATCTTGTTGAACAAGACAAAGTGTATTTTTGACTCATAACAAAATGCAAACTCTTCGTCTAAGACAATAATCGAAAAGAAGTTAAATTTTGTGTCTAATAACATATTAAGGTCTCAATATAAAATCAATTGGTAATATGTGAAATAATCTAACAAATATTTAAATCATACCAACTGACATTAGATAGACAATGTGAGATTTCCAACATAATTTGAATAGGAAAACTAGTTTTACTTACCTTATCTTTGTCTTTCCCTCAAATTTAAGTTGTCAAAGTTCCATACAACTAAGAAAATTCAATTCTATTCACAAGAATCTCTAATAAACAAATTAAACATACTTCTATCATCTTAAATTAACCAAAATTTATCTTTGTCCAAAACTCACACATGGACGGCCTATATGCAACCCTAATCCCTAGAAGCAAAATACTCTAAAATATATAATATATAAAATAATTTATTTTATTTTCAACTTTTGTTTAGATAAGATTATTCTACTTTATTATAATAATACTAATATGTTATTAAATTAAAAAAATAAATTTGATGAAAATTTCTAAAAAGAAAGAAGATAATAATTAATAATTTTGAGTTTTAGAACAAATTTATTTTAATAAAAAAATTTCATTTTCTATTGACTTTCAATTCTTATTAAACTTAAAATAAGTTTTGAACCTTATATATAATAATCATTTTCATTCATAAAACATTATTATTAGAAATAATTGGCTACAAAATATTAATACACATTTTTTAATATATTATCATCCATTTCTTCTTATTATTATTTTCTCCATCCTTCATGAATTTCAATTATCTCCACACTCTTCATCTTTTTCTCTTTCTCTCTCTTCCATCCATTTTTAGGCGCCTATCTTTGCTTCCATATTTGTATCTTCTATATCTCCATTACACAAAATCTCTCTGCTCATAACTTGTTTCATGTTTCTTCCCGTGATTCCAGATGCCACTCACCCATAAAAAATATGGTTTGTGAACGTTGGTGGACTTCAGGCACAAGAATTGCACAATCGTTCTAAACATTGTGGATTTTTCGCAAGTGCTGTTCTACAGATATGGATTTGTTATCCATATCACTCCACACTTATAAATACTCATCTTCTCTTATTTCTTTTTCATTTTTTTTATCCTGAATTTATATCATATCTTAAGAGTTCTTAGGAAACTTGCCCAATATATTACAATTACAAATAAGTTTTTAGAAACAATGATTATACACGCTATTATTAGGAATCAAAATTTTTTATCAACTTTAACATCACCTTGAAGATCAGAAAGTTGGAACGTATCGTATGTTTCAATTTTGCATGTACTACAAAATGTAAGGCAAACTTGTTTTCATTGTTATCTATTTTAAGATGTAGGGTTTTAGTTCTTTAGATACAAAGACAAAAAGTGACAATAACGTGGCAAATATATATATATATATATATATATATATATATATATATTATAAAAAAAGTCTAAATTCTATAAAAAATGTGAACATGTTTAACATTAACTTTTGGAGAACGATGGAATCCAGCTACGTCGGAGGAAATTTTTCGTTCACACTTTCTCGGAAATTCGTGTTAATACGTTTCACACTTACGAAATTTTAGAACTGTATTACTTTTTTCTTAAGATACTAACTCAAATTTATTTAACAAACTAT